AGGAGGAGGAGGAGGAGGAGGAGGAGGAGGAGGAGGAGGAGATTGGATTTATACCCCACCCTTCACTTGGGAGTCTCAGTGCGGCTTACAGACTCCTTCCCCTTCCCCTCCCCACAACAGACTCCCTGTGAGGTGGGTGGGGCTGAGTGACACAAACTGCTCTTTTTCAAGGACAGCTGTGCCAGAGCTTGTGACTGACCCAAGGTCACATCAGCAGGTGCAAGTGGAGGAGTGGGGAATCAAACCTGGTTCTCCCAGATTAGAGTCCACACACTTAACCACTACACCAAACTGGATGTTGAATACTGGCAAATATTCTCCAAGTTGCCTATTAGATGTCACATTTAGGGATGGGCATGAACTAAATTACAAACCAAAATTTATCACCAACTGGGCCCGGTTTGTGTTTCATGAACCTTGGTTCATGCCATCTTGCCCTCACAAGCCCTCACGAACCTCCCATGTATATCCCTGGTAGGTTTGTGTGGTCCCTGTTGGAAGACATGCAGGCACTGCCAGCAGGGCTTGGAGAAGGCATGTAAAGAGACTATGGTCCCTTTAAATGCCTTCTCCAAGCTGTGCCATGGCAGCAGCGTGACTTGCAAAGACCATTTAAATGGATCCCTTTAAATGGGTTTTGCAAGCTGCATTGCCACCACCACTACAGTGGCATGACTCACAAGTTCCCTTTAAATTTCAGCATTTCTGAAGCGGGGGGGAGTGAAAAGGATCGCTGGAACAGCTTGCATCTATTTCAGCCGAACAGGCTGGAGGGAGCAGGAGGGAGCAAAAGGAATATGCCCTTTAAATGGCTTTTGGAAGATACCCCCCCCCTCCATTCTGCTAGCATCGCCAGCAGAAAGGAGGGAGGGAAGATTCACGAACCTCAAGAACTGAACCAGTTTGCGAAATTGGGGAGGTTTGTCCTGGTTCGTGGATGATGGGACCTCACAAACCACAAACCAGAACGAACCTCCATTTCCCCAGCTCATGCCCATCCCTAGTCACGTCCCATTGACTGCACTGACACTGGGCAATCCACCTTGAATACACAGTTCAAAAGGTGGATGATAGACAAAGTTAATAAATCAATAAAAACAAAAACCTGGGTCACCACGGAAGATTTCTTTATGGTCCAAAACAGACATGACCCAGATCACAGATCTCAACTCTTCTGTAAAAGGCAAACTGCAAAAAGACCCAGGAGAAATTGGGGAGACAGTGGCTTAACCCTTTCTTTCCCAAGACAGCCGACTGAAATTGCCTCACTGCCATTCCTTCTCCTCCTGCCCACACACACACGAACACATGAAGCTGCCTTACACTGAATCAGACCCCCCCCCTTGGTCCATCAAGGTCAGTATTGTCTACTCAGACTGGCAGCGACTCTCCAAGGTCTCAGGTTCAGGGGTCTTCCCCATCACCTCCTGCCTGGCCATTTAACCGGAGAGACCAGGGACTGAACCTGTGATCTTCTGCATGTGGAGAAGATGCCCCACCACTGAGCCACGGCCTTCTCCTCCTGCCCATCCTCCTCTGACAGCACAAGGCCTGATCTCCAGTGAGAGGGCCCATGCCGCATGCAAACAGCCTCGTGTACTTGTAAGTCACAGAGATCACCAGCTAGTTTGCCTCTAATAATAGGGCACTTTGGGTAAATAGCCACAACCAAAGAACTGTCTGTGCACCCAAAATAAAACGCAAGCAGGAAATGTGCTGTGAGATTCCAATATTTACTTCATAAGAGATTCTTTTTTAAAAAACAAAACAGGCTGTTTTCAAGCAAACTTCACAAGTTAAATCCCCCCAAGCAGAACAGCCTGGGCTTCGGGTGTCCGTCTCTCCAGCCCACAGTCCACTTTGACAGCCGCTCTGCCCTCCCACAAGGGCCCCAGAGGTCCCTCCTCTCTGCTTCCAAAGACGTTCCTTCAATCTTTTGACTTGTTTGCTCAAGCAGAGCCAAGGTCTGTACATTTAGCTGTCAGCACTAGCACCGCCAGCAGACCCAGTTACAACCTACACTGTTTTCTCAGAATCGCGGTCTTGCAAAAGCGAGAAGCTTAATTTAAAGCTGCGTGACAGTTCTGCTTTAAAAAAGAGAAACCCTTTAAATATTCTAAGCAACCACACAGAACACAAGGTTTTTCCCCCCAACACGAACGCAAGAAGCTGCCTCGAACGGAATCAGACCCTACCTGTCCATCAATGTCAATGTTGTCTGCTCTGGCTGGCAGGGGCTCTCCAGGGGCTCAGGCAAAGGGGATTTCACATCACCTGCTGCCTGGTCTTCCAACTGGAGAGATCCTGGGACACTCCACATGCCCATGAGATGCTCTGCTACGGAGCAGCAGCCCTTCCTCTTTCCACTGTGTTAACTTTTCTTTGGTAATGACCCGATTCCTAAGCTTCACTTGGGTTCCATGCATATGTTTGCATTTAGCTAATCATATATAATTCATGCATATTGGCAAATATTCCCCCAACTGATGACCTGGCAGAATGGAGGAGAATGGAAGCAAGGCAAATTCCACCAGCTCTCTTGGACCAAAGGCCGTTTGGACACCTCCGGCTCCAACCCAGAACACAACAGTGAGCAAGCCCGTCCCGGTTCCTCTTTGGACCTGCTGGTCTAGTCTACACACTTTCTACTGTTTGCTGTTGGTTTTCATGTAGGATAGATGAAACTCATAATAAAAAACACGAGGCTGCTAAGTATCGCTACCATATGCCTGGTTTCACATCCACGATCTCACGGACTTGGGCAGAATTAAGCGCTGGAAAAGACCCTCCACTCACCTCCGCCCTCTACACATTTTCTGATGTAGGCAGGAAGGGGGTAGCGGGTGATGGCAGCCATTGCGGATTCTGTGAGCCACGGTGAGGTTTGGTAAGCAGGATTGCTTCACTGGGCCATTCCACCTATCTTTAAGTATCTATTAAAGCACCCCAATACTAATGTATTGTATATATAATGTAACTGGATGTATAACTGGAGAAGACCCTGATGCTGGGAAAGACCAAAGGTCAAAGAAGACGAGGACGGCAAAGGATGAGATGGTCAGACAGTGTCATAGAGGCAACAAACATGAAATTGAGCCAACTTCAGAGGACGGCGGAAGACAGTAGGGCCTGGTGGGATCTGGTCCATGGGGTCGCAAAGAGTCGGACTCAACTGTGCGACTGAACAACAACAACAAATACTAATTTTTGTTCTACCATCCATAAAACATATAACAGCCTGATTCCTCAGAGAAATGGTGTCGGTCCCTACTGGTTCCCTTCTGTCATTTTCTCCTGCGAGGAGGAGGGGAAGGAGAGGAAGAGGTGGAGGGAGAGGAGAAGACACCTTCTCTCCTTCCGTGGCACTGCTTTTATTTGCGCCTTCTTGCTCTCAGATCATGTTTATCATCTCTGACCTCTTTCTTAGTCATGTAGGCCTGTCAATGATAATGGAGGGAGAGGAAAGGGGAGAGCCACGCTGGAGCCCTCTTCTCGTGGTTGAGGCTGGAGGTAGCGGTGGGGAAACGCTCCCTCCAGCGGTGATACTTGGCTGGGCTTCCTGGCCTTGAGAAGCAGAAGGGGATTCTGATGAGCCTAGAGAACTTCTGCCACAGGGCCTGTTCACCCTGGCAGCCTTGGGGGCGGGAGAGGGCCTGCTGCTCACATTCCACCCCTGCCAGGACCCCAGCGAGGAGGGGAGAGCAGCGGCTGAAGGAGAGGCAGTCAGAGTCGTAGCAGAGGTTCGAACTGGAGGGATAATGGATGAGGCTGTTGCACTGTCCTGTCGCAGTGGCTCCACTGTGGAGGCTGCCTGGGAAGGCTTCGTCCACTCTGAGGGCAGTTTTTTTCTTTTTTGCTTTGGGTGCTGCTGCTGCAGATCGAGAGGCGTGAAGAGCCAAGGGCAATTTTGTAATGTATCCAGTCCAGACCGCGTGGCTGGCTTGGGCTCCACGCGGTCAGGCACAAACGTCAAGCTTCACTCCAAGAGACAATGGACTATGCGGATCCTAGCCCGCTCCAATCAGGGGGCTAGGTTCCCGGCCGAGAGCCTATGGGACTCTCGGCCACTGTAAATAACCTATTGGGAAGTGGGGGGGGTGTTTTGGGTGGCGGTTTCTCGGGGAATATAAGCCGGCCTGCGAGCCGGCCAGAGTCGTCTTGTTCCTGATCGAATAAAGTACGCTTTGCTGAAATCACTCTCCGTCTGCGTACTATTGATGTTTTGACCTAGTGTCCTGCTAATTCCTTAATGAGGTGAGACAGCTGGAAGCTCGACCACCAAGGAGTGGCAGCCTTTGAAAAAATGCCCTGCCCACAGAGCAAGGAGGGGGCACAAGGCACACAAGGATACCTCCCCCCCACTGGCTGGAGAACTATTCTGATCTGTCCACAACAAAAGGGGTGTGGCCTTGCGTACGTCCCTTTTCATCAGGAGGAACGAATGTCCCAGGAAGGTAGGGCATCCCTAAAACAGGCGGGAATGGCCACTCCGCCTGCACTTGGCTTCTGCCCGGATTCCTCTGCTTCTTAGGGTAAGAGCCCTGAAAAGGACTCCTGGCAGGTTCCAGGGAAACCACTCTCTTTCTCCTGCAGTTCTGACGAGTCCCCCCAAAGAACCAACGTTGAAGCTGGAGGGATCTGTTGCATTAGTCACCTGATTTCTTATCCTTCTCAGTGTTCCTGCCCTGATCCTTTGCTCAGCTGCTCACAGAACAGCTTCAAGAAGGGCCTGAATAAACATAAGCAAAAGTCCATCACTGGCTCTTAGCCACAAGGCACAGGTGGAACACTCTGTCTGGGGGCAGTGATGCTCTGTCTTCTTGGGGCCTGTGGGGGCAACTGTGGGAGGGCTCCTGGAGTTCTGGCCTCACTGGTGGACCTCCTGATGACAACTGGGTTTTGTCCACTCTGTGACACAGAGTGTTGGAATGGATGGGTCACTGGCCTGATCCAACATGGCTTCTCTTATGTTCTTATGTCTGGGGCAGTGATTCTTGGTGCTTGGGAGGCAACAGGGAGAGAACTTCTGGGGTTCTGTCCCTGATGGTGGACCACCTGATGGCACCCGGGTTTTAGCCACTGTGTGACATAGAGTGTGGAACTGGATGGGTCACTGGCCTGATCCAACATGGCTTCTCTTATGTTCTTATGTCTGGGGCAAGGGATGCTCTGTCTTGTTGGTGCTTGGGAGGCAACAGGGAGAGGGGTTTTGGGGTTCTGTCCCTGCTGGTGGACCACCTGATGGCACCCGGGTTTTGGCCACTGTGTGACACAGAGTGTTGGAATGGATGGGTCACTGGCAATGCTCCCTCTAAGCTGTGGAGTCCTGTGACCAAAAATCCTACTTTGTGAGCTACTGGCATTACAGTTGTGAGCGAGCGATTTGGCTGTTGTACGAAGTAGTTTGCTCTGGAGCCATCCTTCCTAAGCAAAGACAAAAATGTGTGAGCTGGAGGCTAAAAAACTGTGAGCTAGCTCACACTAACTCAGCTTGGAGGGAACACTGGTCATTGGCCTGATCCAACATGGCTTATCTTATGTTCTTATGTTTGGGGCAGTGATGCTCTGTCTTCTTGGTGTTTGGGGGGGGCAAGAGCGGGAGGGTTTCTGGAGTTCTGTCCCCACTAGTGGACCTCCTGAGGGCACCCGGGTTTGGCCACTGTGTGACACAGAGTGTTGGGCTGGCCACTGGCCTGATCCAACATGGCTTATGTTCTTAAGCTACACCTGTCAGTAGTGTGGCTGCTGCCGCCACCAGGGATCCTCCGGCAGACACACCTGGAAGGCAGATGGGCAGTGATGCGTGGAGTCAGAATCACTTTAACCTCATTGTTTCTGTATACCTCGTGATTGCTGATCGAAGGATTTTCAGCGCATAGCACACCTAAGAGGCACCACGTCAACTGGTCTTTCGGAACCATCATCAATAACTATTTTAATCGGACTGGCAACTGGTGCCTTCGCCAGGACCCTTTGCTATAACAGGAGCAGGGGCAGATATTGCCACAAAAAGCTGCATCAGAATTGTTGAAATATCTTTGACAATGGCCGCTGGTTGGTCAGCAGCAGCTTAAGACTTACTGTTGTTCTCTGCATATATCCTGATCACGGGCATCATTTCAAAGAGCACCTTGGGTTTCGAGTCTATGAGTTTCATGTTCCTTTTGTCCCACCCAGCTCCTTCTAGATAGAGGCCGTAGACATAGACTCCTTCAGCGGGAGGAGTGGTGACGTCATCCTTCATCCACTTGGTCACCTCATTGCAGAGGACTACACTGTCCAGGGCCCATCCTTTATTGGCTCGGGTAATTTCCTGTACAAAGGAATAAAGTAGTGAAGATCCGGAAGTGGGATTTCAATGGGCCAAGAGTCAGTCATGATGTAATGCCTATAAAATCATCAATAAGGCCAGTCCTGCTTACCATAGCTAACTGGGAATCAGTGAGGAGTAGCACTTAGAGTGATGGATTAAAATGTTTGTGGAGATCTGTGTTCAAATTCCCACTCGGCCAGGAAGCTTGCTGGGTAACGGGTAGGCCAGACACAAACACTGTGTCTAGCCTACCTTAGAAGGTTGTTGGGAGAATAAAATGGGGAGAACCATGTGTGTTTTCCTAATTAATTAATTAACTAATTATCGTACGGCATTGAGTGCAGTATAGCCAGGAGATCCTAAGTTTGTCTGGCAACCTGAACGTATAGCTCTTTTAGCATTTTGCACCACTAGGTGATGAGCTAGACTTATTTTGGGGGCTAAGAGAGCTCTAAAACAGCTGTGACTGACCCAAGGTCACCCAACTGGCTTCATGTGGAAGAGTGTGAAATCGAACCCAGTTCTCCAGATTAGAGCCTGTCGCTCGTAACCACTACACCACACTGGCTCTCTTGTGTTGTCCTGAGCCCCCTGGAAGAAGAGCATGCTAGAAATGTGACTGCATTCTTTTTCTTTCTTTCTTCTTCTTTTTTTTGGTATACCATTTCCCCATATTGTCCTGCTTTACAGACATCAACCCTCACACATCTCATGACAAGTCGATCCATCCTAAAGGCTGCAGAAAACTTGACCACCGGCTTCTTGACTGAAATATGAACCAGGCGCCTTTTGTTTGGTCTCGCAGCCCTGAAACGTCAGACCCACGAGTCCTGAGCAGTCCCAGTTGCCGAGAACTCAGTCCCAAGGAAGGGGCTAAACCAACAAATCCTTCCTGGAAGACCCAACTGTCGGGCCCAGTTCAGGTCTTTTAAATGTTGTCCTCACCCGAACAGAAGCCCCCAGGTGCTGGCAGAGCTCTCGCTGGCTCAGGCAGGCTCCAAGGACAGAGTGCCCTTCTGCAGCCCTTCCTGCCAAGAGAGCCCCACTGTTGGCACAGCCTCGCCCTCTTGGCAGCCTTACTTGTTCTCACTGCAGTCCAGAAAGGAGGAGGAGGAGGAGCCATAGACTGACTCCCCCCCAACATCCAGCCTGGGAAGAAGCCAAGGCTGCCGGGTGACTGAGGACAGCCGGGGCTCCCTCCATCCTTTGCACGGAAGACGGGGGGCGGCTGCGAGGGGCCGCCGTGGCAGGAGGGTCTGCAGTGCCGGCAGGAGCCGCGGGACAAAGGCCTGCCTCTCCACGATGATGACGTGGCTTTAAAGGGCGACGTTAAGAGCTGGGCTTAAATTATGCTCAGAGGGAAAAGAGGTGAAGTCTGGTGGCCAATTTAATTCCCTGCACAGAACTCAATGGCTCCTGCCAAGTCCAAGAAGCAAGTTTTCTGCTCCTTTTTATTTCTGATTTTGGCTGTCAGAAATGCCTGGAGAAAGAAAGCTGAGCAGGCCTAGCTCTTTCGCAGACAGACCACGGCACTCCAGAGTGAGCTTTCTCCACCCGGCTCACATGGATAAGCAGAGGAGATGCGCAAGTACCGATTATGGAAACCAGAGTAAAGCCCGGGCCATGCAAAAGGGGTGCCATCTGAAGGTGGCAAAAGGAACCCAAACCGGTTTGTAGAAGAAAAAAAGTTATCTCGAACATACAAGGCCACATTATACTGAAACAGACTCTTGGTCTGATAAGGCCAGTCCTGTCTGCTCTGACCAGATGCCACTCTCCACGGTCTCCGGTGGAGGAGGAGGTCTTTTGCATCACCTCTTCCCTGGATCCTCACCCAAATGCAAAGGACTGAACCTGGGCCTTCTACGTGCTTACTGCCCGTGAGCCACCCTTCTCTGCCACTCAGATGGCAAGGGGGGAAAACACCAAGCGTAAATGAGGAAGAGATTGGAGATTTTTTTTAGTAGGTGCCCTTTAACCTGTCTCATGGCAGTCAGAAATCCTTGAGGGTTGAAAAACCCCGTCATCCAAAAGCAGTTTGGCCGCCCCTCAAAAATCCAACAGTGAAACTGGTGGTTTCTTTCAAGAAGTTCAGTAAACCAGAAGCCAAGAGTGCTGGAAGCCCATGAGGCCTAGAAACAGAAGAGAAAAAGAAAAGATTTTTAAAAACAATATTTGTTTTTAAACAATGCGAGTAAGGCCTGAGCTGTACTGTGGCCATAGATTGTGTTGTTTTTATTTTAAAAAATCCTGATAGAATTTAGAGATACTAAATCGATCAGTTCATGTCTAAGACACATGCATCATCCTGAAGAAAATGAAGACGTGAGCCGTGATTCACAAAAGCTCCCACCACCACCACCACCACCACCACCACCACCATCGCCACAAATTCGACCAGTCTGCAAGGGGCTCCTGGCCTCCTGCTCTTTTCTGCTGCTACAGACAGACTGACACGGCCGCCCATCTTGATCTACATCTTGATCGGTAGCTACATCTTGATCTGTATTCTTCAGGTATCTGAAGACGTGAGCCGTGACTCATGAGAGCTCCTCCCCAGCCAAAATGTGGTTAGTCTTGAAGATGCTCCTGGACACTCGCTCTTTTCCACTGCTCCAGACAGACTAACATGGCGGCTCATCTTGATGCATCTCCCTGATACAGATGGTAATGGTGGAAGGCAGGACATACAGTCCAAAACAGCCCTGGATCCAACACTGTTGGTTTCCCTGACTGGGAAGGAAGCAGTACCCACCTTCCGCCAACGTTCAGGAATCCTGGCATCATACATGCAGTCCAAAGCATCTCTGAGGTTCTCACTCATGATGATTGTTCCATCAATGGCCAGCTTCAAGTCTGCCAGAGTGTTCCGCACCAGGGCAATAATCCTCTGCATTCGGTCTATCTCCTGGCGCAGGAAGATGTTCATGGGCTGGAATGGCCCCATATGCTGCAGCCTCTCCTTTACCTGAAATGAGAATATATAGAACATATACATATCGACAGCATTTTTTAAAAAAAATAACTTTGTTTAAATCAGGTGGGTAACCATGTTGGTCTGAAGCAGCAGAACTGTCATGCCTGCCCTTGACTCAGCCCCAGAGCCAGCTCCTGACAGCCTAAGAGGGGAGGATTCAGTGCCTTTAAGAGCTGAAGAAGCATCAGGATCTGCACCTACTGTAAGTACGGAGGAGGATACACAGCAATCTGAGCCAACTACAGGACGGTTTGCACCTGGGATTGAGCAGGCCATAAGCAGCTCACCACCTGCATCTCCCCCACCTGTAAGCCGGCTTAGGGATAGGAGACGTCAGGATCTGGCTAGCCAACGAAAAGACGCACGTTCAAGAGGGCAGAGATCCTTGAGCCCTGAGTTTTAACAGCAGCCAGGACCTCGCACAAAGGTGCTGAGTTAATGGGCCAGAGCACTATTTAGTAGGGCCTCTGGCCATGAGCAATTTGTGCTGGCAACCTCGTTCATAGAACCAGAAGCTCTGCACCTTGATTCCTGTTTGACTCGGTGGCTTTTGGACCCGGCTGGTGTTTGGACTGCGCTGGCTCCTGACTTCCAGCTTTGAACCTGACCACGCCCTTGGCTTTGCTCCCTGTACTCTGACCTCTGGTAACGTTTGACTACGGCTTTGTCTGGTGTTTTGGGACTTGTTTAATGCTCTGCTGACTGCTCTCCCGGCTGACCTTTGGACTTGTATTGTGACTCCCCCTGTCTGCCTACCTCCCTGGCTCTACCGTAACAAGAACAAAGTTTGAGTCCAGGGGCACCTTTAACACCAACAAAGTTTCATTCCAGGGATAAGCTTTTGTGGAATAAAACTTTACCCATCGTAAAGGTGCCCCAGACTCAAACTTTCTTTAAATAAGACAGTTCTAGGGAGAAATGCAAGGCAGCTGATGTCATGGTCTTGCCTCAAAAGGTACATAGTCTGCAGGGAGCTTCTCCAGCATATCATCGGCCAGCCTTGCGACCACGGCTTCTCTGGTCTCTCCTCCCCCGCTGGAGCTGTCTTTTGGCTGGATGCTGAGAATAGTGTCCAGCACATCTTTGGCAAGTTTGCTCTGGTAAGTGATGTCTGCATTGGGATGCAGCCCAAACACTTCTGGTGTGTCATAAGCAGGCAAGCCCTGCAGAGGCAAAAAGACAGAGAAGGAGCCCGATACGATCGTGAAGCTGAAACTTGAAAACAGTGACAGTTATACAAATAAGGATATGTAGCCACAGCAATAATGACTAGCGATGTTATGTTAAACTCCCTTTTATTTATGTTTTTAACAGTTCCTTCAGAAAGTGGTTCGGTTGCAGGGCTAAAAATCAATTTCAATAAAACAAAAATAATAACGAAAAATTGTACAAAGTCGCAGATGGATAAAATACAAAAACTGTCTAAGATGGAAATAGTAAAAAGAATTAGGTATTTAGGAATCATCCTAACGAATAGAAACATTACCTTAAAAGAGGACAATTATGATAAACTGCTTAGGGTTGTGAAGAATGACTTAGAAAAGTGGAAAGATTTAAAGATCTCGTTGATGGGGAAAATTGCAGCTATTAAAATGAATATTCTGCCCAGATTTATATTTTTGGCACACAACATTCCAATAATAAGAAAAATTACTTATTTTAAGGATTTTGAGAAAATCTGTAATAAATTTATATGGAGCAATAAAAAAGCGAGGATCAATCGGAAAAATATGCAGGATAAAAAAGAAATGGGAGGCTTCAGAGTACCAAACTGGAATCTATACTACAATGCAGCCGCACTGACGTGGATAAAGGAATGAATAACATTAGAAAATATTAGATTACTAAAACTGGAAGGACATAATTTAGCAATGGGCTAGCATAAATATGTGTGGTACGAAGAGGACAAAAGTACTAAGAATTTTACACAACACACAATAAGGGGTTCACTGATGAAAATATGGAAAGAAATTAAAACACGATATTATCTTAAAACTCCAAAATGGGTGGCTCCAATAGAAGCTCTAACAATGTCAACATTGATGGACAAATATAGAATAGTATCATATGGAGATTTATTAGATAAGAACAACAATCTAAAAATGGAAGAGCAAATAGCGAGTCAGAGCACAAAATTTACTTGGTGGGAGAGAACGCAGTTAGTCTCGAGATATAACATAGATAAGAAAAAAGGCTTCTACAGTGAGAACAACGAATTAGACAAAATATTGTTGTCATCCAGTGATAAATTAATTCAACGATTCTATAAACTGTTGATAACAGATTACATGATAGGGGAAGAGATCAAAGGAACTATGGTAACTTGGACGAAAGATTTGCATAAAACATTAAGTGCTGAGCAATGGACAAAGGTGTGGGATTCAATAAAGCTAATGAAAGCAATTCCATATAAAGAGAATATCTATAAGATGTTCTACAGGTGGCACTGGACGCCTGAGAAATTAGCAGAATGTTATATAAACACTAATAGAAACTGTTGGAAATGCAAGAAAAATGTGGGGACATAAATGCATATGTGCTGGGGATGAGAAAAAATACAAAGATACTGGAAAAAAGTCTATAAGATGATAAGTGAGATAACAGGCACTCAGATAGCGTTCACGCCAGAAATTGCTTTATTGAATATTTTTCCTGACACATATACCCTGTTTCCCCGAAAATAAGACCTACCCCCAAAAATAAGCCCTAGCAGGATTTCTATGCATTTGTGGTATAACCCCTAGTGTGTCTTCTTGAGAAAAAATACATATAAGACAGTGTCTTATTTTCGGGGAAACACGGTAGCAGGACAAATAAATATATAATAATTTACTTCGTTACAGCAGCAAGAATATTAATAGCCAGTAAATGGAAAAAGGATGAAATACCTTCAAAAAAAGAATTAATAGAGAGGATACTTTCAGTAGCTGAAATGGATAGACTAAGTTTATCATTGCAGGGTAAAAGAAAAGAAGTTTTTGATAAACGTTGGAAAATGTTTTATGCATGGTTGGACAATGTGTATAAAAATGACTCAAAAGAATAGTAAATGTAAGGCGTAATGTAAATGAATAATGGAAAACTCAATAAACAAAAATTTCAACAAAGAAAGTGAAATTAAAACAAGCTGCATTAATAAAACGTGCCAAGGTCTGGATAAAGGTCATCGCATGAAAGAGTTCAGGGGAAAGTATGGGAAACCATGGACTGGGGGAGGGGGAAATAAAAGAACAATTCTTTATTTAGAAGAGTTTATTTAAAAAATACAGACGTAATATTACATTCAGCACTGTTGCAAGTATCTCTCCTTATATATAACTGAGTAGTGGGGTGGCACTTTCCAGCTCTCTCACTGGTTGTGCAACGCGCTCCATCAGCCATTGGCCCATCAGCCACCACTCAAGAGAACTCACATGCCATTGGCCGGGTGCTGAATCTGCTCCTCTTCCCCGCCCACTCCCACCTCAGCCACTGTTCCCTATCAGAATTACTGGCAAACGGCTGTCTCTCCCGACAAAGACACTTCTCCTGCTTGGCTCCTCTGTGGAACTAACTTTTCCCTCAGTGGCTGCTGGTAGAAGGAAACCCTTTCCAGGCCTTTGTGAGAAATTCATTGGGGCCCGTCCTGACTAGGGTTGCCAGGTTGGGAAATTCCTGGATATTCTTTGTCTAAGGAAGCCAGTCTAAGGAAGCCAGAGTTTGGGGAGGGAAGAGGCCTCAGCTGAACAGAATGCCATAGAGCCCACCATCCAAAGCAGTTATTTTGTCTGGGAGAAGGGGGGGAGAGATCTGTTGTCTTGAGTTCAGTTGTGATACCCGGTGATCTTCAGGTTTCACCTGGAGATTGGCTACCCTAGGCGTAGCAGTTAGCGCTTCAGAGCAGGGTCTGCCAGGCAGAGATCAGTTCCCCAATGGCATTATACCCTGCTGAGTCCTTCCCCTTCCCAAAACGATTCCCTCCACAGGATCCACCCCCCGACTCTCCAGGTGTTTCCCTACTCAGAGCTGGCAACTCTACTTTCCCCTCAGTGCCCGTTGCTAGGCAACCAAGCTTGGTTCTGTCAGTAAAAGGCCTTTTCCATGCCTATTTTGGCCTTTGGGAGAAAACTCATTGGGGCCAGCCCTGACTAGGGTTGCCAGCTTCAGGTAGGGGAATTCCTGGAGATTTTATGGTAGAGTCTATAATACCTGGCAATCTTCAGGCTCCACAGGAGGTTGGCTACCCTAGGCGTAGCAGTCAGCACTTCAGAGCACAGTCTGCTAGACCCAGGTTCTTGCTGTGGAAGCTGAATAGGTGGTTTTGGACCAGTCACAGACTTTCAGCCTTACCTATCTCACAGGATTGTTGTGCAAGTCAAAAGGGGGAGAAGAGAATGATGTAAGCTGCTTTAGTCCCCATTGCAGAGAAAAACTGTACTTTTCCTCCTGGGAAACAGCAGCAGAAGTTCACACCCGCCCCCTTGCAGCCATTTTCACCCAGCACCACTTCTGGGCATCACCGTTCAGGAAACCCGGCTTCCTGGGCAGAGACCTCACATGGCCGAAAGGCTGGTGTTTGGCCAGCTGCAATGAAGTCGCTTTGCAGCTCTCTTCCCGGCATACGTACTTGCTAATTTCACAGACCTGTATGTACTGAAGGTAGTGATCCACGGTGGTGCACTTGGGGATACTGTAGCCTTTGTAGAAGGAGAATTCTGGACTGAACATGTTTTCACTGAACCAGACTTTAGCAAAAGTGTTCAGCAGCCTTTTGTCGTAGTCATCCGTAACTCTTCCCCCATACTGAATCTCTCCGATCATGTAACGAACTGTGTTCCAGGACACCCCCTGAAACAAAAGTTCAAAAAAGCAGATAGCAGCAGTCTGCTAAAAGGCATCTTCTCATAAACATGCTACTGTGTGAGCATTCCAAGAATCTGGGGAGTTGTGCCTCCCACTCCAGAGGTGTCATGCCAAGTCTGGCCTCATTCTCACTTCTTCGGGGCTGTGCCACTCCAGACTTGGTGGCCATGGTGGGAGGGCTTCTGGGGTTTTGGCCCTGCATTCTAATCACCCAGAAAAGGGGCACTTCAACAGTTGTCTGCTGTTCCGTGCCTGGATGAACGTAAAGCCCGGGCTCTACCCAGTGGAATTCTAGAGTCTGACTGCTTCAGGAATAAACAGAAAAAAGAAATACAGGTTCCTTATTGTAAGAGAGCGCCATCCTAGACTTAAACACACACACACACACACACACAAACTTGGGTTTTCTAGTGCGCTATCTAAGCTAGAGCGGAGAGAGATTTTTAGAAACCAAGTCGAGTTCTCGTGGTGGAGATAAAGAGAGAGAAGGGAAGTGAAGTGACTGAAAGGAAGGAAACCCTAAGAGTGGTGGGATAACAAAGGGACAGCCCAGGGGGGTGGCCAAAGGAAAGGGAAAAAACCTCTGTAGCCCTTGACTCCACAGTCCTCCCCTGAGACTCCAAAGCCTACAAGCAACAATGCACAGCCTTTCCTTCCTTCTAACGCAGACCTTGCCGAAGGAGCACAGGTGGGACTGAATCCCAGAGTTCCTCACACTGGCATCAAAGTATTTTAGGGTTAGACAAGAAAATGTGTGTCGCCTGTCTGATATATTGGTGTGTGTGTGTGTGTGTGTGTGTGTGTGTGTGTGTGAGGGGGGGGGGTGCCTTTCCTTTTATCCAAGTCCTTTTCACTCCCTGATTTGAATTCAACTTACCCGAAACTTCACCAAGTCTTTTTTGTTTTAAAAAAGTTTTGTCTCCCAACTTACTTACCCGCTTCATTTACACCTTGCCTTTCTCTGCAGTAGCAGCCCCAAGAGGCTTCACGCCTTTCCCCTCGCCTCCCTCTTGCCCTCACAACCACCCTCCCTGCGAGGCAAGAGAGGCCGAGAGTTTGTGGCAGCCCACGGTCATCCGGCAAGCTTCCCTGGGAGAGCGGGGACTTGAACCTGGGTCCAATGCTCTCACCCAAGGGTCCCCAACCTTCCTGAGCTTGCAGGGACTTTTGGGATGTCGTGACGGGGCGGGGAGCACCCCCCCCCCATGGCTGTTGCAGGAGGCGGAGCCAAACCGCAAATGGCTGGTGCGGGAAGTGGAGCCAAACATCGTACCTCCCTCCTCGCTTGGCAAAAGAATCACAGCAGGGGGATAAAAAGGAATGAAGGAAATCCCAAGGGGAGGGATGGGAAAAGGAACAAAAAGGAATAAAGAGGAAAGACCGAGGGGGGAATGGAACCAGCCGCTGACTAAGGAAAACACTGGTGCTTGCCACTTGCTGATCGTATCGTTTCTGTGGCTGCTATTGCAGCAGAAGACCCTTCTGTATGAATGAGGGTGGCCAATGACGAGCCCTGCCTTCCAGGGGCTCTGCCCACTTTCTGAAAAGATCTGCGGGCACCAGGGTGCCCATGGGGGCCACTTTGGGGAGCCCTATACTCTAGCCATACTGGCTCTCTATGACCTGTTTCCTTTCATAGGGAATAAGCAAGGCCCTCTTTTTTGGAGAAGTCGGCCCCACCCCTCAGACTGCTCAGCCAGCACCACCTCAGGGACCGAAGGGAGGGAGGAAAGGCTTCGCCTTCCCTCAGAGGAGGGTCCCTGTGGCCTGTGCATGCCCCAGCTGAGAGAGGGGGAGGTGTGCAATGGCATCTTCTTTGAAGCACCTGATGGTTTTATCATCTCAGGGTTTCTCCGGTACCCTCTGTCCTCACCACCCGGGCCAAGGGAACTCCCTTTGGGTCATCACAAGTATATGCAAAGCCTCAGGAATGCACCTTGTGCAAACATAACGCTATTTCGAATATGACAGTGCTGGTGGTCGAAAATGCCATCACGTTGCAGCTATCTTGTGGTGACCCTGCATGGTTTTCAAGGCCAGAGACGTCCAGAGGTGGTTTGCCATCGCCTGCCTCTGCGTTGCAACCCTGGGCTTCCTCGGTGGCCTCCCATCCAAGGACAAACCAGGGCCGACCCCGCTTAGTTTCTGAGATCTGATAAGGCTGGGCTAGCTTGGGGGCTTAACCTGCTGCCAGACGGTTGTTTTGACGCAAGTGCCGCCTCCTACCTTTTTGATGTCCATGTCGTCCAGATGGTTCTGCACAAACTGCACCGTGGCATTGAAATCAGCTTGGTTGAACTCATAAGGAATGTTCCACCCCAGAGGCCCAAATTTCCTTCTTTCCTGAACTGTGGAATGCAGGAAGGCTACAGCATAGAGCATCGGCTTCCACTGGACCATGTTGCTGACATCCAAGAGATCCTGGCTCACCCCTGTTACCAAAAAATGGAGAGGCGTCCCCATAAAATAGGACTGTTACACGGTTTCCTGTGAAGCCTCGTGGTGCTCTCTCAAGGTGCTTTTCCTCCCCTCTCATGCAGCAATAATTGGCACAAAAATCCAGACACTCTTCCCCAAGCGTGCCCCTATCTGCAGATCGGAGCCACACTTGCACCAAACAGAGGTTTTTCTGCAAACTTGAGTGACCACCTAGGTTTACAGAAAAAACTGAAAAGTAGGTTCGTATTATCATATATGGTGGAGGTGCGAAAAAATGGTTAAATTTTGGAAAACCATAAAACAATTAATTGTAGAGATAGTTGAAATAAAGCTCTCGGGGGAACCAGAAATATACCTGTTGAATATGTTACCAGAAGGGATAAATCATAATGATTTACACTTGATATTATATATCCTTACCAGTTCCAAAATCCTTATAGCTAAATGTTGGAAATCAGATAAAATACCAAGTAGAGAAGAATTAATTATAAAAATTATGGAAATAAAAGAAATGGATAAAGTAAACATGATATTGTCGGGAAAGGACGAAAATGTGTTTTTAAAAAGATGGCAGAAAGTAGATAGATGGTTGGAAAAAATGTGTAAAGGAAACTCCAAAGTATGATGTAAATGAATATACCCTTGTGCTATTATTTTTTTGTTATGGAAAAAAATTAAATAAACTAATTAAAAAAAAAAAGAAAAATCTGAAAAGTTAAAAAAAATACATGGGAGTTTAAATTCCTTCAAAAGTTAAAAAAGGCACTTTCTGCGCAAGCACAGAGAACATTCTTTACTAATCATCTCCTGCGATGGCGGCAAAGCATCCTGGGGGCCACGCTAGGCCTGGCAGAGGCAGCCAAGAAGCCCAGTGGCAGCCCTGGGAACAGAGGTGGCCGCAAGAGAGACCAGGAGCTGCACTGGGCCCGGTGGGAATGGCAGGAGAGGCCCGGAGCCACGCTAGGCTCTCCAGCACTGATATGGGGGGGTTGGGGGTAGTGAGGCAGCCAGGCAGCAGTGGCTGCTACAGTGTGGAGGGGAGACATGGTACTCGCGGAGGGGGGCCCTTCCGCCTCTTAGCTGCCAGTGACGGGGGAAGAAATAAAGTTACGAGAAAGAAGGGATCCCCACCCACCCCCCGCGACTATTGTAGGTCCCCACTTGTCTTATATTTTAACAGTTAAGTCAGCCACATCTTTGGATACTTGAATCTGGTGACTGAATCTGTGAAGGGGCACAACATATCCTTCTGCAAACCTGAAAAGGACCCCAGATTTCCAGAAAAAAATGTGAAATCTAAAAGAAAAATACATTGGGTAATCTAAAAAGTCCAAAAAATGATAGAAAGAGCAGCTGTAGATTTTAAAAACTGATATCCTGCGTGGCTGTTGCTAGGCACCCACAGTATTCCAAGGCTGGGTTCTGTGTGTAAAAGGCGGGGTGAGGGGGCAGGGCCCTTTCCAGGCCTGTGTTGGCCTTGGAGGGAGGGAGCCTCGGGGCCAGGCCTGACTAGGGCTGTCAGCTCCAGGTTGGGAAATTCCTGTAGATTTTGTGATGAAGACTGAGGAGAGCAGGGTTTGGGGAGGGGAGAGGCTTTGACCAGATATAATGTCAGAGAGTCCACCATCCAAACTAACCATTTTCTCCAGGGGGATAAATGTTTATTGTCTAGAGTTCAATTGTAATTCTGGGGGATCTCCAGGTCCCACCTGGAAGTTGGCAGCCCTAGGCCTGGCAGCACTCTCTGAGTGACATGATACCACCTGACTTGCATGACTCACCAAAGCCTGGCTGCTTGCTACTTCTCAACAGCAGCCACCTTATGAAAGCCAGTGTGGTGTAGAGATTAGAGCTTCCATGTGATGGTCACCTCCAGATTTGACTACTGTAACTCGCTTTACACTGGCCTTCCCTTGAGACTGACCTGGAAACTTCAGCTGATCCAGAATGTGGCAATGTGAATCCTGACGGGAACACCAAGGATGGCACATATACAACCACTGTACAGATACACTGGCTTCCAGTGGAGTACCGAGTCAGATTCAAGGTGCTGGCATTGACTAGGGGTGTGCAGGGGGGGGGAATGTTATTCAGGTATAATAAAGCTGGATTTTGGGGGGATTCCCGAATATACCTGAATACCAATACCAGTATTCTATTGGTACCTGAAAATGTTTGGTATTCCCGAAGATTTTCGGGTACCAATAGATTGTAGTCAATGGCAAAAATCTTTTAATAAGTGTTTAGGGGGATGGGGGGGAGGAGGTTTGAGGAAGAGGCAACAGATTTGTACCGTAACTGCTGGAGCCTCTCCCCAAAAGACCCCCCAAGTTTGGAAAGGATTGGACCAGGGGGTCCAATTCTAAGGGCATCCAAAGAGGGTGCCCACAATTCTCCACTGTTTCCTATGGGGATGGGGAAAAGGCAGGCAGCAGTGTCTCCCAGAGAAAGCTGGGAAAAAAACTGAATTTTTTTTTGGGGGGGGGTTCAGCATTCAGCATTCGGCAGCCAAATCAGCTCAGAGGATCTGGTTTTGTAAGCCAAATACCCGAAAAATGCCGAAAAACGTTTCCCCGTTTTTTCCCCCGGTTCAGCTTTACTGAATGCACACCCCTAGTATTGACCTTTAAGGACTTGAGCCATCTGGGACCAGCATATCTCCAGGACCGTCTCCTCTGATAAGTCCCCGGGAGAGCATTGCGCTCTCAGTAATCTGCCCATGAGATGAAAGAATAGTCCAGAGGAGGTTTTTAAGTTAAATTATAGATGCCATCTGGAGATTGGGAAATTAAGATAAACCGTTTGTTGATTGTAATCGGTATTTTTGTATGTTTTAATCTGTTGTAAATCTAATAAATAATAATAACAGATTCTAATAGAAATCTAAATATAATAATAATAATAATAATAGTTGTTGTTGTTGTTGTTATTGGTATTCAGATTAGGGTCTGCAAGACCCAGGTTCAGGTCCCCAGCTTGTGGTAGAAGCTGGCTGGGTGATTTTGGACCACTCACATACTTTCAGCCTAACCAACCTCACAGGGTTGTTGTGTGGATAAAAAGGAGGAGAGCAGAATACTGTAAGCTGCTTTGGTCTCCACTGTGGAGAAAGACCATAGTTTTCCTAGGTAGAGGCTGCAGAGAGGAAGGTGACAGAAAACTGAAGACAGAGGGGCAGATAAAGGTAGGTTGGCTGTCGGGTTGCAAGGAGACGGGTTTGCCAACTCCAGGGTGGGAGGTTCCTGGAGACTTGAGGGCTGGAGCCCTGGTGTTTGAGGGGGGAAGGGACCTCAGACAGGCATAATGTCATGGATCCCACCCTCCAAAGCAGCCATTTCCTTCAGGGGAACTAGCCCTAACAATCCCCACGTGCGGGTTGGCGATCACCCAGAAGGACAACTGTTCTCCAGATGTCGGAGATCAGTTCTCCTGGAGAAAATGGCTGCTTTGGAGGGAGGAGCCCCATGGCATTCTATCTGGCTGAGGCAGCTTCCCTCCCCAAACCTCACTGTCCCCAGGCTCCGCACCCCACATCTCCAGGAATTTCCCACCCTGGAGCTGGCAGCCCTCAGTGGGGGGACTGGTCTCTGTGGCCGGGAGCTCTGTAGTGAGTCCCAGAGAGCCGCCCCCGCCGTTGGAAGAAGCGGGTGGGCAGCTGGGAGAGTGATGGGAGGGAGACAGAGAGAGCGATGGGGGGGGGGGAGGCCCAGAAAGACAGGAGGACGTGGCAGGCACAGAGGAGAGGAAGGGTAAGAGAACAGGTAGCAGGAGGAAGGAGGAGTGAGAGACGGAGAATCAGGGCGAGAGGGGAGGAGGCAAAGGTGGGTGGGAATGGGATAGCCCTTGGGGGGGGGGGGATCCACCGCCGAATCCAAGAAAGATCCTGCTGTTAGGTGCCTAGTTAGGAAAAACTACCCTCCCCTTACCATTGTACTCCTAGCTTAGATAAAAATTGTGTGTCTGTAAACCGCTCTGAGCCTCATGGATAGGGCGGTATATAAATCGCAAATGTAATGTAATGTAATAGCTGTTCCCACAAGTTTCTTGCAGGTCCCCACTTTTAAGGCCCTAATAATCACAGTACTTATCAATGTGAAATTCTCCCCAACAGATCATTTGAGAGTTTTTGTTTTTTAAATCCAAGATGTTAAATTTAAGGTATCACTTTACAACTCAAGAATGTGTCCATTTTAGTTCGGGGGTCGGGGGGGAGAGAACATGGGAACCTAAAAGCTAGAATTCTCCCACCATCGAACCTGTAAATAAAATCCTCTAAGGAACCAAGGAACGGTGAAATTTCCTAACATCATGCTAGTAGTCATCCACAAATGTTTCCCCACTAAAATAAAGCCAAACGTGCAGTTTTCTTTATAATATATTTGTGCACTGATTTTCAAAAGTTCAAATAGGTCGAAGAGGTCAAGCATCTGGAAGAAAATTAACAGTTGGCAACATTATCACCTAACCATTGCTTCATAGATCTGCCCACATTCATTTATAAGGGCTAGCTATTTTTTTTAATACCTGAACACCCCACTCTTCCAAAACTCTCAGTGGCTTACAGCACCTCTATTAAATCTATTTACCTATAAAGGTCCTACGTAACCCACACACACACACACACTCCCTCCTACAAATTTTGTCTACTGAAAACAATCGTGTCAATATCAGATGACCTCATAATAACACCCAAAGGGACTTTGTGCAAAAGCCTTCTTAAGAAGTTAGGTCTTACAGCCGTTCCTACAAACCAACAGGAAAAGTCAGCAGTGACTCTCCTGTGGGAAGCTGTTCTACAATCATGGACCTATAAGCTCAAACTGGCCACCACATGGTCTTTGCTGTCAAAGACACATCATAAGAACATAAGAGACGCCAATGTTGGATCAGGCCAAAGGCCAATCCAGTCCAACACTCTGTGTCACACAGTGGCCAGAAACACCAGGGGCCCTCAGGAGGTCCAGCAGTGGGGCCAGGACACCAGAAGCCCCTCCTACTGCCCCCCCCAGCACCAAGAATACAGAGCATCACTTGCCCCAGAGCCCCTATCTATTCCTTGTGGCTAATAGTTCAGAAGGATATCCTAGTTCAGAAGGACGGACAACAGTGACTTTTGGCCTTACGTGTTTTAAAAATCATGGGTGAGCTCCTGAGAAACCCATTGGACTCCACTGACTTCTGCCCTTGTCAGAGAACCGGGATTTTTCCCCACAGGGAAGGACACTCACCTCCATAGGTTCGCTTGAGGCCAGCTTTGAGTCCTTGAGGAGGTTCATTGGTGAATTTAATAGACATCTGAAGAAGCGTGATGGGAAAGTATTTGTGAACCTCCGTCGTCATCCACAAACGAAAAGCCTCGTGAATGTTCTCGGTTTCCACAATGGTGTCCATCAATTCATCCATAAAGTCAAGGCCCAGGTGACAGTTCTGCAGAAGCGCCCACCCACCCTGGGGAAGGAAAAACCTTCAAGTGAGACTTGGATCTCCTCTCCCACTCTCCCAACAGGGCCTACTACTAGATACTTTCACAAAAGCGGGGGTGGGTGGGTGGGTTGCTGAATCAAGATTTGGGTGAGCAACCACCATTATTTCAAGAAGCATTTTGTGTATTAAGATCAGTCCTAAATTACAGCCGTCAGCTGATTACCACGGACATAACACAAATGTGCGTCACTTCCAATCAGAACAAACAATAGATCATCACCCTGCTGTTTCCTAAATGTCATTAAAGTTCCCTCAATCATTCGCACGCAGCTGGTTTTAAAAATTACATCTGTTACTGTGTGATCACTGGTGATAGTAGGTCATGTATACGAATCAGTCTTAAGCTTAGACTAGACACACAACAGCCTTGCATCTCTTCCGCTTCCATCCCCCTTATAATACCTAGTTTATCACAACACCCAACCTGTTTCCTCTGTATTCTATTGGCTGTCATTTGTCGGGGAGGCAAAACTTACAACGTGCCCCATATGTCTTAGTTTACTAGATATTGACGGTGACCATTTGATCTTTCCAGTCTCTAGTTCCAACTTTAGGAGCCAGAGTGGAGTAGCCCTCAGAGTGCTGGGCTGGGGAGACTTGGGGTCAAACTTCCACTCTGCTAAAAGGGTTGATTGATCAATCTAGATCAAGGCACTCATTGCCAGATTCACCCACCTCACAAAGGTGTCCTGAAGACAGAATAGAGGAAGGAGGAAACCCCTGAGCTTTTTTGAGGAAAGGAAGGACAGAAATGAGACAGACGGAGGAGTAAACTGGTTTTTCATGGATTAGCAGCCTCCCCTCCCTTTTTTTTTTGCTGTGCTCAAACCTAGTCTGACACGTTTTGGTTAAATGCCCATTTCCTAATAAATGCAAAAGCGGACACAATTCAGGGTGTGTCTTACATGCGCCATAGTTTGCTGCAGAAGTTTGCGTGCATGGACCTCCTGTCCTTGGCCCATGGAAACATAGCGAGTCTCCATCTTCAGTCTCTTGCCCAAAGCAATGATGGAATCCGTGGGATCAGACCCCATGGAAAGGAAGCAGACGAGAGGGGTGCGTGGGTCAGACTCCATCCAGGTCTTCTCCAGGTCTAAGATGACGCCTTCCACATATTTTTCCTCCATTGTATCCATAATGTATTTCCTAGCCTAGGGGAAAAATGAAAAGAACGGTGCAGTTTAATTTTTACACTTATCGGTATACCAAGTATGGGCTCCCTACTGAACAGGTAATTATTAGAAGAGCTCATGTCCTCAGGCGAGCCAGCTCCCCACCTCCATCGTTCCTGAATTACAGGGAAGCCGCATGGGGGGGGGGGGAGGTATCAGCTTCAGGGGAGAGGGAGGGAGGGAGGTGGGCTGCTCCACTGCCTCCTCACTTGCTCCACTGCCTCCTTTGGCTTAACGGCCCCAGTTTCCCTCCTCAGCCAGACACCAAGCGCAGAAGTAAGTCTGGCCGGGGAGAGCGGTGGGGGCAAAGGGGGCAAATGTCCAATCCTCACCTACGGCTTCTACTTAAAAGGATACTGAAAATGCTCCTCTTAAATCCACACTCACATTGTTTGTGACAGAGGGAACATTTAAATATGTGCAATACACCATCAACTTCATTCAGAATGCTATTTGTTCTACGTGGTTTGAAGTCAAGCGAACAGAAAAGGTGAAAACTGAATAGACACTCTAATCAGCGTCATGAATTTCAACTTGGAATAAACGCAGATGAATCCATCCTGTCCCACAACAACTGGCAGACTCTGAGAGCTCACTTCCAAAGTAGCATCACTCATGTCACTCAAGTGATATTCTACACGTGCAAACTTCTTACATTTTCCCACGCTCTGCATCTCTGTGCTCCCGTGTGATCTAGGCAGTGCAGGGGCAGGAAATGCACTTTGCAAAGCTGGGAGCAGAATCTCCTATAATCCTCCATAGATTTGTGGGTAAAGGGGGAATAAGCTCAGTCAATTCCCTATGAACACCACAGATGTTTATGGACTACAGTCATGATTCCCACAAAGTGGGAGCTTTTTAAGAAAAACATTATAGGCCAAAGCAGCTTTTTTTATCCCCTTTGGTTATCTCCCTCTGCATTGAGGGATGTCCATCAGGTGTTATAGTATGCAATATGCCATCCCATGCTGAGAAAAGTCATTTAGGCGAAGGGCCTATAGTTCATGTGCACAAAATCCTAGAGCCAACTACTTTTATCAATTAATATGACAACTGCGGTGGCTTAGAGGTTAAGATGCTGAGCTGCAGACCAGAAGGTCTGTAGTTCAGCAGTTCGAGACCCGGGTGCCGCATGATGGAGTGAGCTCCCGTCTCTGGCCCCAGCTCCTGCCAACCTAGTAGTTTGAAAGCAAGAAATTGCAAGTAGATAAATAGGTACCACTTCGGTGGGAATGTAACAGCATTCTGTGCACCTCGATGTTTAGTCATGCCAGCCACATGACTATGGAGAAGTCTTAGGACAGAGCTGGCTCTTCAGTTTGGAAACTGAGATGAGCACCGCCCCCTAGAGTCAGATTCAACTGGCTTTCGAGCAAGGGAGACCTTTACCTATGACAGCCAAGAGCAGGGTCCTCAAAGGCCTCTTCACAACCTGTTAAGAAACTGGTATGAGACTTCCTATGTGGGTAAGATACATGAGACTCTGTGTAACAGTGATTATATATTGTTATTAAGCATAATTGTTTAGACGCTATATTGTTATAAAGCATTGCTGTATTTTATACTTTTACAACTTTGTACTTCTATAGTTCTTTGTTCCAGAGGAAGGACCAGGAGTCTGAAACACTATCAACTACCTAGGAAAAGTGTTGGATATCTTCTCTGGACTTGACTGTTTCCCTTCATGGGTTGTGTGGATTTTTCATTCCCATATGTAATACTAGGGAGCAAGGCCCGTTGAGCAGGGCGATATAATGGGCGGCTAGCCCCCCCCCCCCGTCCCTGCACGGCGCTCACCTCTTCCCCCTCTCCGCTCTGACCGTCGCAGCTGCCTGTCAGCTCCAGCCACCCCTCTGCACTGTGCTGGCGTCCTCCCCCTCCCCGGCCTGACCCAGGCGGCCGCCGGTCACATCCCGATGGCTGTCGCAGCCGCCCGTCGCCTCGAGCCCCCGGGAAGATTCCGCGCAGGCCGTCGCTGCCGGCGGTCACCTCCAGCCACCCCTCCGCACATCGCCCGCCTCCTCCGCCGTGCCCCAGCCAGCCGCCGGCCTTAGCCCGGCGCCCGTGGCAGCCGCCTGCCGCCTCTAGCCGCCAGGAAGATCCCGCGCAGGTCGCTTGAAGCTGCGTCTGAGGTGGGACTCAGATGACGTGGCCAATGGGACGTGGGCAAGCCGTTGACGGACAGGCGAGCCGTCCATACACTGTAGGTGCGCATTACGTGACTTTGCGTCTTACAGAATTATATTATAGGGAGAGATTTGTCACTGATATTGCTAATTATATGCTTCTTTTCACTTTATTGAAGTCTCTTCGTGTACATTTATACTTGCGGGTATTTCAGCTCACAGTTGTTTTGCTGTTCCTGGCTTCCAGTCAGAGGAGGCAACACTGAGGCAGAGAGACCAACGGTATGACTCCGCAGAAGGCAGCTCCATGTCTTTTTTGGGGCCAGCCACAGCCTATGTGCCCTCCAAAACCTAGGAAACGGTTCGAAGCCTTTCCTGACCCCACATTCCCCACCCGCAGGTAACTAGAAGCCTTTTCCGGATGCTGGGACTAAGCACAGCCTTAGCCTCCTTACCTCCCCCAATCCATATGCTGGGGGGTAAAACATTCTAATGCCAAACGGTGGGGGCAGGAAGTAGCCCTATTGTTGCTGATTAGAAAGGAAAAGGAAACAGCAGCTAAAATACATCTACTCCCCTCCCCGCCCCAAAAATGGGCATCTGTCATCCCTTCCTGCTCTACACAACTGACCCTGGCAGTTCAGGTACCCAGAGAGGAGTCCAATTTGGAATGTCTAGAATGGCCAAGGTGCCCATTATCAGGAAAGAAAATTAACTGGCAAAGGTTTGGCACATGGCCACCTCTTCCCTTCTTTGATGCTCGCTTGAGTGCCGTTTGACAAGGACCTTGCCCTTGAAAACACAGGCCTTGAAAACAGCTATCAAATCTGTGTCAGATATTTGCTGTTGTGGCTACTCTGTTCCAATAAATCACAGTAATGTCAGCTGGGCACACAAACCGAGAAGAGTTGGTTTTATTGGATTGGCTCCCTCCACCCTGAGACACAAAATACTTCATTAATACAGTGGACAGCCTCATGAACTCCCACCACTTCATTATTAAAAGCTTCCAAGCTGTGTACTAGATTTGTATTGATCCGTCGCCTGGGGAGAGATGATTCACAATCCTGTCAGAAAGCTCTGCTTACCTGCGCGATGGTTCTGTCAGGACACCACGACCGAATGAGGAGGAGGCGCCTGAAGCAGTCTAGACCCTGGTCATAGCCACTGGGAACAGGGTCCTCTTCCGGTTTCTCCTTATCAAACCAAATTTTCCACTGTTTTTCGGTTCTTGAGATCTGTTCGGCCAATGGGGAAGGATACAGATTATGTTCCGTATACACAAAGACTTTTCAGGTTCAATTACTTTACATGCCTGTTCTGGGCATTCTAAACATGTCCTCTCTTATGACTGTTAGCACAACAACAGAGAGGTTGTGGACTCTTTCCGTGGGAGGGCCAGTCTTTTATTACCCGAGTAGGTGCAGAGGGCATCTGGCAGAGGGTAATGTGTTTTGGAAGATCTGGCTGTGGTTTTATCCTTTTATTTTGTTTTACTTCTACATTGTTGACATGTACTGTGGAGGGTTTTTTTGTCTTTGCAACTAATCATTGCTTTGTTAGCTGCCTTGAGATAAGGCAGGATATAAATATTTTAAATCAACATATATGAAGACCTACTTCAGGGGTGGCCAAACATGCTTAACATAAGAGCCAGATGTTTGAGAGCCACAAGACATGAACAAATATTACACACACATTTTTATTGGAACATTTTTAAATTTGCTTTTTATTAACATTAAATTAGACTGCCAAAAATAAAAACAAAAGGAGTAAAATAGACATTGATAATGATATTTATTTGTCCAGTGATATTTGTTTGTTTGCTAATGATATTTATTTGTCTAAGAGATAGAGAAAGAGAGAGGTGGAAAGAAAGAATGAAAGAGGTGGAAAGAAAGAGAAACAAAGAAAACTAATAGATGGGGAGGGAAGGAGGAGGTAGGAAGGAAGAGAGAGACAAAGAAAGGAAGGGGAAGAAAGGGGGAATGAGAAAAAGAGAAAGAAAGGGGGAAAGAAAGCAAATAGATGGGGAGGGGGAGGGGGAAAGAGAGAAAGAGAGAAAGAGAAAAAGAGAAATTGAAAAACAAAGAAAGCAAATAGATGGGGAGGGAGGAGGAAGGAAGGGAGAAAGAGAAATATGGAAAGAAAGAAGGGGGGAGAGAGAAACAAAAACAAAGAAAGCAAATAGATGGGAGAGGAGGGAAGGAATAGTGAGAGAGAGAGAAAAGGAAACAAAGGAAGCAAATAGATGAGGAAGGAGGAGGAAGGAAGGAAGAGAAAGGAAGGAAGAAAGGAAGGGAGAAAGAGAAAGGTGAAAAGAAAGAAAGGTGGAAAGAAAGCAAATAGATGGGGAGGGAGGGAGGAAGGGGGAAACAGAGAGAGAAAGAAAGACGGAAAGAAAGCAAATAAATGGGGAGGGAGGGATGGAGAGGTTGAAAGAAAGCAACTTTAACTTTAAATGTATTCCCCAATCCCCCCACACACATCCACCCATGCCAGCAGAAGGGATTTGGAGAAGGGATTTAAAGAGATAAATACCTTCCCCGAGCCAAGCCAGCTGGCCGGTGTGGTGGTGGGGCAGGTCTTGGAGAACACATTTAACTTTAGATGGGGAGGGAGGGGAGAAAGAGAGAGAGAGAGAAAGAGAGCAAATAGATGGGGAGAGGGAGAGGTGGGAAGAAAGCAACTTTAACTTTAAATGCGTCCTCTGAGCACCCCCCCCCCCCAGCTTGGCTTGGAGAAGGGATTTAAAGAAACAAATGCCTTCTTCAAGCTGTCCAGTGGGAGGGAGCTTTGAGAATGCATTTAAAGTTAAAGTTGCTTTCTTTCTCTTCTCCTCTGACCTCAAGCCTACCCAGGGAGGGGAACACTGGCTGGGGAAGGGAAGAACAATTGGGGAGACATGCCTCCCCTTCGCTTCCCCAGCAGCCCTGCCGGGAGCCACACCATATGTGTGAAAGAGCCGCATGTGGATCTCGAGCTGCAGTTTGGCCACCCCTGACCTACTTTTTATAACTTGGTACCTTGACCTGCTGATACCAATCCAACTTCAGTATGGCCATTTCCCCTCTTGATGGCCATGGAAATAAGGTGACTGCTTAAGTTGGAGGGGCACCACAAACGTTTTCAGCTGCCGTGGCTCAGAAACAGTCAAATAGGAACCTATAGTTCCTTAGGGGGAGGAGATGCCGGAGGCCATATGCCTCCTGACTTGGCCTCCACCAATGAGAACAAATTTAGAGTCCAGTGGCTCCTTTAAGACCAACAAAGGTTTATTCAAGGTATGAGCTTTCGTGTGCAAGGCACACTTCTTCAAATATGGTGGAGGCCAACACGGCTGACCAACTGGATCTATCCACCAATGAGAGATGGCTTTACAGTTTGGGTGCAGGATTTGGATGCAGAGAGTGGGACAGAAATACAGACTTGGATGTAGAGAGCACAGGGACAGAAACCCATTGATCTTTGCCAGATAAGTGGGCTGGGTGTGGTTCACACTTCTCCTAGCAACAAAAAAAGTGGAACAATATGGGGGGGGGGTGTAAAACAGCTCTAACTGGTGTGGCATGCAGTTAATTGATGGGATCTTGCAGAACTGATGCTACGCCTATACTGATCCCTCAGAAGTGAACTTGGCAGCTGCCTGGTATTATGTTCTTCTTGGATCTTCTCCTGAACATGACAAGATGGTGGTCACTCCTGAAAAATGTTTCCTATAGTAACCACGTGTCTGAAAGGGACAGAATCAGTCAAAGGTTCTTAAGTGTGGCAGCCCCTAAAATGAGAACGCAGTTGAGATGGCTGCTGTGGGGTGAGATGATTACGGTGAGATGATGCATGTCCTATACAGAGAGGCTCTTCCAATTCAAGTAGCTTACATGCCTCTCCTGAGCATTCTAAACATGCATTCTTGAAGAATTGTATGTACCATGTGTAAATATCATCGATGTAGGATTCCATATAGAGAATAAATACGGACGTTTCCAGTGTTCCCTCTAAGCTGAGTTAGTGTGAGCCAGCTCACAGATTTTTAGCCTCCAGCTCACAGATTTTTGTCTGAGCTCAGGAAGGAGGGCCCCAGAGCAAACCAATTTATGCAGTAGCCAAATCGCTCGCTCACAACTTTAATGCCAGTAGCTCACAAAGTAGAATTTTTGCTCACAAGACTCCGCAGCTTAGAGGGAACATTGGACATTTCCAATAGTGTAGTTTTGCACCAGAATCTAAGGCAAAGTTCCTCAAACTCGCATGGGGAAAAGCTGTTAGTATATGGGAAAGCCAAGTCATTTTTGTAGGATAGGCGAGGAAAGATGCTGAACCCACTGGCCTATAGCCATTTCTCTGCTGGGAACTGCCTGAAGTTCACGGGACACCAAAATGAACACATCTAATTTCTCCTGAATAACTGAACTATCAAATGTAGTCTGCTTTCACTCATCTTGGGCTGGTGTCCCTACACTGTCCCTTTCTGGAGAACAAGGAGTCGTCTAAAGTGCTGACTTCCTTTCTATAGGTTCACACCAGAAATCACCTTGGATTGTTAAAAGCATGTGTAGCAGGGAGTAACAGTTGGTGTATGTTTTATGTTTGATTGTTGATATGCCACTCCCCCTTTATACGGCATTCTGGGAAAGTGGAGATGGCAGTCAGCAGACTTTAGTGCTGAAGTGATTTTGGTTTTGGAAAAGTTTTAGTTCACGTTTGGTGAGTTCTTAAGAAATTTAAAAAATCAACATTTCCTGCACATCCTGCCTTTTCCCGAGTGGGGTGTAACACAGGCAATATGAACTAACTAGTAGCTAACAGCAATGAGCAGAGCCACCAGTAAGGCCACTCAGTCTTCAGCCCTGCCCCCAGTTACCTACTTGATCAAGAACATCTGAAAACTGCCTGAGTTTACTGAGTGCCACTAAGTTCAACCACGTCATATCCAGGATCCATCTAGCTGGTTTGGGAGGACAAGCTTTCAGATCCAAAGAAGCACCACCTAAAAGAGAGTTGCATTTTAAAGATGGTTAAAGAGCTGTTCATTTTTTAAAGTTGGTATGCATATTGTTTCTTATTTATAATATTATAAACAATATTCTTTAGTATTATTTATACAGGGTCGCTTGAGAAAAGCCTTTACAGAAGACCTCTCTCCCTCTCCCTCTCCCTCTCCCTCTGTCTAGTACATTTCCACCTCACCCCTCACCCAAAGAACTCAAGACGGCACACAGTGGGAGGGGGGCAAAATCAGCAACACCCTCCCCCTCCCAAGGGGTGCCACTACACCGGCAGAAGAGACCTTTTGGATCCAATCTCACTACATTTATTCTGTGATAGATTTCTGCCAGTCTTACGTGCCTACCGCCCTTCATGAAATTTCCCATTGTGCTCACCCTGCCAATCACCTACATGTTCACACTACAAAGACCAGGCATGCTGGTTCTACTAGTAGGCCCCCAAGCACATGTGGAGTCTGATGCTCAAACGACAGGTGGACTACATGTCACGGAACAAGCAAATGGACTCTTGATCTCTTACTGCATGTAGAATTTTAATGTCTGCTCTTGGCAATCACTGAGTCAAGACAAGCACAGGAGTCCAGTAGCGAGGGTCCAGTACTTGAAGAAGTGAGCGTTGGCTCATGAGAGCTTCCCCCCCTGCCACAGATTTGGTTCGTCTTTAAGGTGCTCCTGGACTCTGGCTCTTTTCCACTGCTACAGACAGACTGGCACGGCTGCCCATCTTGATCTACACTTGATCCAGGGCTATTTTTGGGCAGGAACGCACAGAAACGGAGTTCCAGCTGGCTCCCGAGTTGGCCACACCCAGCAGGAACTCATTAGCATAATAGGCCACACCCAACAGCAGAAATTCATTAGGATTGGCTACATTAGGGGTGTGTGGCCTAACATGCAAAGGAGTTCCTGCTACAAAAAAAGGCCCTGGGTTTTGACGACAAACAAGGTAAACAGAATAAGAAGGGAAAGGTGGGTGTGGCTGGATGGCCAGACTTCTGGTAACATGGGGGGTGCGGCCTAATGTGCTAATGAGTTCCTGCTGTTGGGTGTGGCCTATTATGCTAATGAGTTCCTGCTGGGCTTTTTCTACAAAAAGAGCCCTGACTTGATCTATACCTACATCTTGACCTGTATTCTTTAGGTATCTGAAGAAGTGAGCCCTGACTCACAAAACCTCTTCCCCTGCCTCAGATTTTGTGAATCTGGAAGGTGCTACTGGACTCCTGCTCTTTCCCACTGCTACAGACAGACGAACACGGCCGCCCATCTTGATCTATCCCTGAACGAGTAAGCCAAGCACGCAATGACCTTTAATGAGTGTTAGAAACTCCTCATGCTTGACTCTGTTCCGCTGCAAGTCAATCTTCAAGGTAAGCAGTAACGTGAACAGAAACTTGTGCTCCTCGTAAAGCCCCCGTGCAGCATACTGGTAGACTTCATAGGTCATGTGCTCAATGATATTTGCAATCCTCTTGCTGGTAACGGGGCTCTTGACAGACCTATGCAAAAAGGTGGGGAGCGAAAATAAAACCTAACAAGAGGCCTTTGGGGTGGAGGTTTTTTTAAAAAAAGCTTTTTTAAAAAAATCTGAAAAGAAAGCTTTTCAAAGCTACACAGCATAATACTGAGTTACTACAGAAACAAAGAGGGCCGTCGTGACCAAACCAACCTGACACTGTACATTATTCAGTTCACATAGTCCAAAGGAATTCTGACACCACTAAACCTCTTTGAGACGCACCTCCACATTAAGAGACTGAAAAGTGCAATATTTTGCTTCACGCTATTGTCTTTTGACCCTAGATGCTCTGTATGGCCCCTTCCAACTCTACGATTCTGTGATTCTATCCCTGGTCTGACTGATTATTATTTTTTAAATGGCTTTTGTGAGGCCTGGTCGCAGGCAAGACATTTCTGCAGACAAGAATTCTAACAGCATAAATTCAATGAATACTACTTGCTTTAGGGCTATTTGTTCTACACTTATATTTTACATATTATTTTCATCCCACCTCTCAGCCAGAGGTTTCCAAGCCAGACGTAACTGTGGGATGTATTACAGACCAGCAGATCGTTAAAAAAAACAATTTTTCAAAAGAAACAGCCACTAAGTGATTCCCCTCCCCCCATGATGGTAAATCGGTCAGAAGCCATAATTCAGCAGTAGAGCTTGCTACTAGTGGTAAGTTCCGCATGCAGAAGTGTTCGCTATTCAGTCCCCGGCATCTTCCAACTTAAAAGGGCTCATGTTTTGAAGAGCTCATTCTAGACTGGATTGGCCAACGATCTCATTTGTGCAGCCATTCTAATGTGTGCTGCCAGTACCTGCGGGACGTGAGAAATCTACATGCACACACATGTGGGGACATACAAACACAGGGAGCCGCAAGGAAGCTAGAGAGTAACTGGATAATTCACTATAACAAATCTTTAATATAATTTATATTTAATATACATTTTATATGAATATTTAGTATAATTCACCATGCCAAATATTTAGCATCCAGGGAGGCTTTAATCTGCTCCTCCCGTTTTGAGTTGCTGTTGAGCCCAGAATCTCTGGCACGTGGGGGGGGGGGCCATGGGGTCAGCCAAGCCATTAGCCTCGGCTCTGCAACCCGCTGACTCCTTCCACCTCAGGACTGTGCACACACGTTACATGGCATTCACACACGTGTGCTCATGTGTACATGCGTGACCAGGCCCCTTATTCCTGCCGAGCGGCCACAGAAGCGGCTATCTGAAAGGGAGAGCAGAAGCGCCCGTGGTCACTGAGGGGCAAACTGGGCTTGGCTAAGCAGCAGCTTCCGTTTCACTGGGTGGGCAGGGGCCTCCTACTTCCAGATTTCTCCAAACTGTTTTTGTCACCTTGCTGGATTAGAGCTCAAGCTATTTTATTCTACCTCATGTTTTTATGTCTGTATACCAGCTAACAGAACTTCCTATTCTGTTTCCCCAAACTTTTTTTAGCCCCCCCCCTCTCTCTCTCACACACACACACACACTGCTATAACTAGGGAAAAAACATTCTCTCCTGTGTGGGAAAAGGTTAGCAGAGATAATCAACAATGTTACAGGAAATCAGTCCAAATTCTGCTGCATTCTACCATGTGACAATTACTTTGCTTAGTAAAAAGGTAAAGGTTCCCTTGCTCGAAAGCCAGTCGAGTCCGACTCTAGGGTTGCGGTGCTCATCTCTGTTTCAAAGCCGAAGAGCCAGCGCTATCCGAAGACGTTTCCGTGGTCATGTGGCCGGCATGACTAAACACCAAGGCGCACGGAATGCTGTTACCTTCCCACCGAAGTGGTACCTATTTATCTACTTGCAATGTCTTGCTTTCGAACTGCTAGGTTGGCAGGAGCTGGAACTAGAGACGGGAGCTCACTCCGTCATGTGGCACACTCGGGTCTCGAACTGCTGAACTACCGACCTTCCACAGCCTGCAGTTCAGCGTCTTATCCACTTGAGCCACCGCAGCTTATTATTTGCTTATTCAGCTTATTGTTTGCTTATTCAGCACCAAAAAAGGAAATGGAAGGGGCCGATGCACTGTGAAGCTGTCTCTGGACTGGAGAGGGACAAGAACCATTGCTGAGTGAGGGTGTGATGGTTATTCTTCCAACCTTCCGGTCGTCTCTCACCACATAAGGTTTGCAGGTTTTTTTAGTGGCGTAAAAACCTACAAATCTCTTTGACTGGTGATAATGGACAAAAGAAAGGAATGCAGACCCTGCACGCGATGCTGCTCTAACGCTGCTTCCTATTCCCTAAATAAAGCCCAGCATGCAACTCCACACCCACTGATTACTGCACTCTCTGGAATCAGAAAGATCTCCACCAATCACAATTACCTGGCAAGCGAAAGGTCAAACAGGCCCAAGAACTGTCGGAGTGAAGTCTGGTACATGACGTTCACCATACTCATCTCGGTTATGAGGAAGTAGAGAATGCTGCCTCTGGTTGCCACTGCAAAGCCAAACAGGAGGGTGGGTCTGATTAGTGCAGAACAAATGGGTCCTCTTGGGACATGAATGGACCGCCCGGCCCCCCTGACCCCAACTCCCGCTTACTCGCCTGGCTAAAATATTTTTACCCAGGCTTTTAACTAGAGGGTTCTTGTGGGTTTTTTCTTTAAATTGTTTTCTTAATTTGATGACATTTATGAGAAACATGTAAGTTGCTAAATGTTTTTTAATAGTTTGTTAATGTTAATGCTCTTTTGTGCTCATGGTTTTATCTCGTTTTATTTTGCGAGGCCCTGATATGTGGGCAGCATATAACATTTCTAAAGAAATGATGTTTTACATGACTAACAAGTGGCGGCGGCGGCAGAAAGGGCCGTCAAGTCACAGCCGACTCACGGCGACCCCTCAAGGGGCTTTCAAGGCAGGAGATGAGCAGAGATGCTGAATAAGAAGACATAAGAGAAGCCAACATTGGGTCAGGCCAGTGGCCCCTCCAGTCCAACACTCTGTGTCACACAGTGGCCGAAAACACCAGGTGTCCTCAGAAGGTCCAGCAGTGGGGCCAGGACACTAGAAGCCCTCCCACTGTTGCCCCCCCCCCCAAGCACCAAGAAGACAGAGCATCCCTTGCCCCAGCCTGAGAGTTCCTATCTATACCTTGTGGCTAATAGCCACTGATGGACTTCTGCTCTATATGCTTATCTAATTCCTTCTTGAAGCCGTCCATGCTTGTAGCCACCACCACCACCTCCTGTGGCAGTGACTTCCATATGTTAAATCACTCTTTGGGTGAAGAAGGACTTCCTTTTATCCATTCTAACCTGACCGCTCAGAAATTTCATGGAGTGCCCATGAGTTCTTCTATTGCAGTGATGGCAAACCTTTTAGAGACCAAGTGCCCAAACTGCGACCAAAAACCCACTTATTTATCGCAAAGTGCCAACACGGCAATTTAACCTGAATACTGAGGTTTTACTTTAGAAAAAACCACTCATATAATTCATTTACTTAAAATTATTTGGCAGAGAATTCGACACTTTAATGATGGTCTGGGCTCTGCGTGCCACCTCTGGCACCCGTGCCAGAGGTTCGCCACCACTGTTCTATTGTGAGAAAGGGAGAAAGGTACCTCTTTCTCGACCTGCTCTGTCCCAATGCCCCGGCCCGACACCGTGTAGCAACCCTGGACTTCCTGGGTGGTCTCCCACCCAAACACGGACCAGGGCTGAGCTTGCTTAGCTTCTGACGTCTGATGGGATCAGGATAAACAAAACGCCAGTAGATTTTTCATGCTAAACAGCTAGAAAAGACCTCTCATTGATAACCCTGGCTATCTGTTTTAAACCAAAGGGCCCGCTAAATGTTCCCTCCTTTTCTCTTTTTGGCTATAGTGCATTTTTAGAAAAAATTAATTGAAGTGTTGATGATTTAAGAACGCAGGGTTTCCAATGAGCAGTGTTCCCTCTAAGCTGAGTTAGCGTGAGCTAGCTCACAGTTTTTTAGCCTCCAGCTCACACATTTTTGTCTTAGCTCAGGAAGGATGGCTCCGGAGAAAACTAATTTATGCAACAGCCAAATCACTTGCTCACAGCTTTAATGCCAGTAACTCACAAAATAGAATTTTTGCTCACAAGACTCCAAAGCTTAGAGGGAACATTGCCAATGAGTTATGCACATCACTGCTTTTGAACATAGTTGCCTTTAGACTGTCAATGTGCCACTGATTAGAGGCACTAGCCTTGTTCACAAATTACAGGGCCCATACAGTGTACACTTGATTTGTATTCATATATGCATTGATCAATTCTCGCATCACGGTCACCAGGCGTGCACTGTTGAAGTTGTGACTGAAACTGTACGTTTACCCAGGTGCTGGTTCCTGGTTTGTAAAGTGAATGCAAATGGGCTGTTTCTTACAAAGACCTGCACATACAGGATGTATGTCATTCACTGTAACATGGGAACATGGCTACTATCCTCACAGAAGATCATGCTGGCATATTAGCTGCACAAATCCGGACCCTCCCCTCCGCCAGCTCCAGTCATGATTTGGAGCGCTGCCCAGAGACGTTTCCGTCACGGTCACCAGGCCCAGCTCACCCGGCCTGTATTCCTCCCGAGCTGAGTTGATCTGTATTTCAGTCTCAGCTGAGATCTGCAGTTTCTGTGTCACCTCTTCAGCGGTTCTCTTGGTGTTACTGAGGACAATGATGAGGCTCTCGTCTTCCACCAGAGAGCCCCGCGTGCTGGTTAGTCTATACAGCAAGTTGTCCTCCAGTTCCTTCATCTTCCTTTTGTTCGCAGTCACATCTTCCATAAGATCGGTCCGCTCTTTCTCCAGCTCCTGTGAAAGGACACCGGGAAGAAATTCAGACCGGCAGCCACACGAGCAGAAGTCCACGAGCACCTTAAAGGCTAACAAGACCTGTGGCAGACTGTAGGGGCTTTTGAACCTGCTTTGGAACTTGCTTCGTAAGTGAGCCGTGACTCGTGAACGCTCCTCTCCTGCCAGAAATTTTGTTAGCCTGCAAGGTTGAAATATACTGGGTTCAGACGCGCAGAAGCAATCAGCTCACAGTTTATCAGCCCGTGATTCAGCAAGAGACAGACGAAGACTGCAATCCCTGGCGGAAGCCAGGGATTTATGCCTGAAAAGGGTTACACCCAAGAACACCCCACTCCCAATGATAGGCTATTTACACTCTATTGTTTCCCAACTGGTTTTCTCTAGGATCCCTGTCTCCCTACTGGTCCATTCTAGGATCCTGGCAATCTATTGTTATGCATCCCAAGCTCAGTCCTTTTGCAAGGACCGTTCAGGCTCAACACATAACACAGGTGCTCTTTTCTACTATTCTTTTCTACTGGACTCTTGCTCTTTTCTGCTATTAGTGGAATACCTTGTCAAGCGCAGACTTATTAATGCATACACTATATAGGGTAGCATACACCATGCCGTACTGAAACCAACATGCAGCTAAATGCCCAGACATGACTCATTACAGGATTTATTCTTCTGGAGGAAACCTGTATTTTTTTTCACTTATATCTTTGATCCTGAAAGGCATTTGTCCCTCTCAAAATGCCACGGCAAGTTTGGAACCTGCTTTGATATACTACGTCGGGTTTTGTACAGCCAATCTCAAAAGAGGTACCATAGACTGAAGAGGATGCAGAAAAAAGCAGCAAAAGGAAAGTGTAAAAACATTCAGAGATTTTAATTTAAGGGCAGGAAGTAACTAAAAGAGAAACCTGGTAGGGTTTATAAAATTATGAGCAGAGCAGGGAGTCTGCCTGTAGAACCATCTTTAGTCAGGACTGTGAAAGAGAAACACCTCTTTGTGGCGTGTGCAGTCCAGCTTATGGTGTTCACTGCCACAAGAAGCACTCGCTAGCTTAGCCGGCTTTCAAAAACAGAACAAATAATCATGTGGAGGACAAGCCTATTAACAGCTGTGGTCCAGAATAACTAACTGGAACCACCACATACGGAGGGAAGCAGCCTTTCCAACGCCAGCTAACAGGGACCACTTTCATTCCCTGCTTGTGAGCTACTAAAGTAATCTGGCTGGGCAGTGTCAGAAAATTGAGCACTAAAACTAGGCAGATCTTAGTACAGTGGTTCTTACAGTCTTTGAAGTAGATTAAGAATCTGCCTTATTTATCGTTTGGTTGATTGTCTTCGTTTCTATCCCACCGTTTCTCACCAACGGGGACCCGACGCAGCTTTTGCACTGTTTGCCTCTCCTTTGCCTCCCTGTGAGCTGGACTGAGGTCTGACTCAAGCTGCAGCTGGGAAAGAACTCAGAAACACTCATCATCCCAACAGTTCCTGAACACTGAGGAGTCCCTGCCAAGACGTTCACCAAGCAGCACAACTGGATGGGCAACGAATCCTGCAATTTGTTCTTCTCACAATTGCTAGCAAAATGCTAGAGCAGAGGCACACGGCAGTCGATCTGGGTCTTGTGATATGCTAAATTTATGCTGGATTAGATTACCAGAATATAGACAAATATATCGTGTACATATGGGAACCATTAATTTCATATTTTAAAGCAATCAAAAACTTAATTTGCATCTAATTGAGTGGGTCTCACTCTCTGGACTGTGACTTAACCATAACAAGCTCAAAGTCTTACTTCCATTAAAGAAAAAGACCTATGTCATGGGCAATCTGTAGAAATAAAAGGAAATGTAATTGGGGATCACGAAAGTAATTTATAAGAATTATGAGTTTTCTTTGGACTAGCCATGATAGGAAATCTGAATATTAGAAATGCAAATATATCTGAGGCAAAAAGGATGAAAAGGTAATCTAGAAAGAAACGAGGGAACATTTGCTCATTTCATTTCTTCTAATTAGTTTCCACTGTGGATGAAAAGTTTGCAAAACAGAGATATGTCCCCAGAATACAAACAGGTGAAAATTGCCAGTTTCCACCATGTGGCAGCAATTTATTTTCATTGCCAGCAGCAATTTCAGCATGGACCAGCATCTTACATTCCAAACACTGTTATATAGTATGTTCCCATGTTAGACTCCACAAACATCAGTAGATGCAAAACATACCCATGCTGTGATCAAATCTCTCACCCTCCATATCACATTTAGGGATGCCCTTAGGAAGCCTGCAGAAACTTCAGCTTGTCCAGAATGTGGCATATTATGGCAACATGGAAGTAATCATACCATAGCAATGATGAAATATCTTCAGTGGTTGCCCATTGGTTTTTGTGCACAATTCAGGATGTTGGTTTATGACCTATAAAGCTTACCACCTTCTTTAGCAGTGCTCACCCCCTTCTTTCATCAGGCAGGTGGCTGCCTTCTCAATGATAGCAACCGGGCTTTGTAACACCCTCTTGCCAGGCACCACTGTCATTTCAACTCCAAGCCAAGTTCTTCCATTTTTTCTGAGCCATGTTCACTGTTTTGGTAGCAGGGAACTGACTTGGTTTCGTTAATTTTTAGGCTGTTGCTTGTACTTCCACTTGAATAGGCTTTATTGGTATTCCATTAAGGTAGATCCAGTTGGTCAGATGTGTTGATCTGAAGCAGTACAACAAATTTAGAGTCCAATGGCCCTTTTAAGACCAACAAAGGTTTATTCAAGGTATGAGCACTTTATCAAATACGTTAGAATAGCAGGCGAGGTTCGAACTTATAGCCAGAGAATGAACAGCAAATTAACATGCAACATGATGATGATCAAGATATGAGAAGTGACACTAAATAAACAAGTTAAGGTTATCAGGTCAACAGTTGTAAAGCAATAAACATGTCAATCTAGCAGATAAATGTCTAATACCTCAAAATAGCTGTTTTATTACAAAGGAACTTCAGAAACAGAATGGAAAAGGAAACTGCTGAATTATAAGTTATTATAACACTTGGAACAAAAACCTCCCAAGGACTCAACAGGGATATTGGTTTTTTATCCCATTACATAACCTAACTCATTTAGTCCTCACATATGTATTCTCAACAAGAAGGTCTATAAATCCTCTGGCTCATACCTTGAATAAACCTTTGTTGGTCTTAAAGGTACTACTGGACTCTAAATTTGGTAATCCATTATTTTATTTACATTATCTATCCCCCGTGCCTTTCTCCCAAATGGGGACTCAAACTGGCTTATGTTATTCTACTTACCTCCATTTTGTCCTTACAACAACCCTTTGAGGTAGGTTAGGCCAAGTGTATGTGGCTGGCCCACAGTCACCCAGCAAGCTCCCGTGGCAGAGCGGGGATCCGAGACTGGATTTCCCAAATCCTAGTTTGATGCTCTGACCACTACACAGCACTGCCTTCTCTTTTAGTAATATTTTAAGCCACTTTCAGAAAGCGGAAAGGATCTTGATCTGCTCTAACCTGAGATGTTGAAAAACAGTAAAATCAGAAGTAAGGATGCTATTATGCAAATCTCCCAAAGGTTATATGCTCTATAGTAAAGTCTCAAGGAAGTATTTCTTTTGGGCCAGGTGAGGGTCTTGGCAACGAATGACAAATGTCCCCGTCCAAGCCGTTCGCACAGGCATTCAGAATTAGGCTAGCCACTTGTTATTCTATGCAGTCTTCCTCTCTCGTTCAAAATCTCTTTCACAAACTGCAGCTGTTTCACTTCTACTCAAGTACAGCAGGAAGGCCAGCTGGCAAGCTAACAGAGGCGGAAATTTGGGTTGGATTCGATACAGTGTCTGGCCTGAAGCCGACACCCTCCTTTTCATTTCTACATCACGGTATGAAGGAGTTAATCATCTGAGCTTGCAGCGCACACATTTGTCTTGCCTTCCCCCTTTCAGAAAAATCTTCAGGGACAGGGCTAAGTAATCTTTGATTGAAAAACTCCACCCTATCTGTAAAACTGCTTATTTTAAGGATTAAGTTCATTTAGGTCTGTAGAGCAGGTCTGCATTTACTCTCCCCCTATGATGAACAGTTAGAAGGTATGATGACACCCCTTATTTCTGAGAATGTGGGGATTTGTTCCTGTAATCTTCCACAAGTTGGAGCAGTCTTATTTTCCACTGACACTGTCTACCCACCTTTTTTTTTAAACTCTTTATTAGGATATCACAATAAGTACACTTATAATTCATATAACGTTATCTCATATCCTTTTTTTCTTCCATACAACCCCCCCTTCTGACTTCCCACAGTGCTCAAACTTCCCATTCCCTCTTAGGTCAGCCCCTTTCCCAATTCATTAATATTATACATTTATTACAGGTACCGTATCTCTTTATCGCTTCTGGCGATGATGGGGGGTGCAGGTGGCCTTCTATCCCACCGCCGACTCTCTGTGAATCCCAGCGGGGACCGGGACACGGGCAGGTCACTATGAGCGACTTTCCCCCCCAAGTTGTTCTCACTTGCCTTGCGGGTACCGCAAGACAGGGCAAGTCGGCAAAGGAGGAGGCTGACATGTGCAAGCAGCATGGGCCCGAGCACTGGGGAGGGAGGAGAAAGCGGATTGCCACCAGGGGCCTCTGTGCAGGCAGACGGATAGAGAGATGATGTATAAGAAAATGCTGAGGGGCTGTGTGCAGCCGCCTTCAGACATATGGAGATGCGTGGAATGGAGCCAGGCCTATAAGGTGCCTCTCACATCTTTCTAGAGCTCGTTGTATTGCTTCTACAACAAGCTTTGCTACTAGTGGAACAATAAAACCAACTGATGATTTTATTTACAAGGACAGGAAGGCAGGGAATATATATACAAGGGGAAAGCTGATGTTTGTGTATACATTGTTCCAAATGGTATAGTTCAACTTTACGTCAGTTCATTTATAATCCTTCACTTCAGATGCCACAATACAAAACACGGTCTCTCTAATCTCAACCCCTGTGCTGTTCTAGATTGCCAGTTTACATTTGGATTCCTCAGATACTCTCCACCTCCACAAAGAAATACCTCTGCTGTGCCTTGGGTTTTTTCCCCCTGTTTCTTTTTAGACACCCACTAGTCCAATAAACCCTCCTGGCACACACTAAATCCACTAAACCCAACTCTCTCTCCAGCAGGGTATAAATTCTATGTGAGAGGGATGTGAATCTCTTAGGAGCTTATTTTCCTTTTTAAGACTCTTTAGTTTTCACTATGGTATAGAACCACTTTTGGCTTTTCTCATATTCCCTTAATATTGGAATCTGTAGAGAAATCTCATTTGCTCCTTGGACTCAGCGAGGTCCAACTTGACTTCTCAGTCCCCTGGCGTTGTACCACTGACCAAAAACAACTGACAGTCTCAACGGCCAAACTCCAACTGTCAAGAGTTTGGGTTTTTTAAAATCATTATAACCCCCCCCCCAGTTCTGCATCAGAATTACATCACCACTGGTAGTCATGTGACTGCAGGTGTCCTTTCTTGCAGGCTGATCCCAAGCCCAGAGTCCGTCACAGAAGGCTATTCTGAAATCCTGTCTGAAGAAGTGAGCCGTGACTCAGGAAAGCTCCTACCCTGCCACAAATTTGGTTAGTCTTTAAGGTGCTCCTGGACTCGCTATCTTTTCTATTGAAATCTTGCATTGTTTTTTATTTGAGACTCCACATTTTACAAGCGTGCTGCTTCGTATGATCTCCAGGGCATCACGTAGAACTAGGGAGTGCATTCTTCTGTTTTGAAAGCTCAAGGCCGTTCCAGACCCACCGCCTTGCAGAGATGAGGGGGGAAGGAACAGGGTTAGCTACAGCTTCCGCAAAGCGAGAGCCGCCCAGCCTGTCAAAGAGTCCTTGGCATGCCGCCATCAGGGATGGGGCAGGGGAAGCACCTTCAAGGGTCTGGCCTGCCTCCCCCCCCCCATGTTCAGCAGACAGAAGTGGCACTCACCAGCCAGCCCCTGACTTCAGAGTTGGTGCAAGCAGGTCACTAGTTTAGGGCCGACTAGGAATTTTTGCCCCCTTTGGCAGAATCCACTTCAGTGGAGGAAGGAGGTTCATCTACTCTGCTCTGAAAATAGCACACCCAAGTCTTGGGCTTGCTGGGTTTAAGGTCTTGGTACCTCGACGTGGGGGTAGCAGTGCAGTTAAAGTTGACTGAGTAGTACACAGTAAAGCTTTGGTGAGCACCCTGAGGCATTAGGTAGTCGTGCAAAAGGGCTGTCCTCAGACCAGAAGCTAGGGCCTCGGGGCCTTCTTGGAGATGGGGTCCCCATGAGGGATGCCATTGTCCTTGACCCATAGACCCTGCAGCTAGGGGCAAAGGGCATGGCACACCTGCCACGAGCAATAAAATGCTGGGTAAGGAGGAGACTGAGCTGTATACAGAGGAGACCTCAGAGCTTGGAGCCAGGGTGGCCTCGCCCATAAAGACTGGGATGCACAGACAGAGGATACCCAACCCTTCTGCATCCCATCAAGGGCTGGCACTGTGACTAGGTACAGACGGGCCCTCGATCGGTGTGAAATTTAACAAAATCGACCCTTTTATTGTCCCAGCTAATAATCCCAGATAATAATTATCCCAACCTAGCAGTTCGAAAGCAAGAAATTGCAAGTAGATAAATGGGTACCAGTTCGGTGGGAAGGTAACAGCGTTCCGTGCGCCTTGGTGTTTAGTCATGCTGGCCACATGACCACGGAAACGTCTTCGGACAGCGCTGGCTCTTCGGCTTTGAAACGGAGATGAGCACCGCAACCCTAGAGTCGGATTCAACTGGCTTTCGAGCTAGGGAACCTTTACCTTTACCTTAATAGTGTCAGCTTTAATTATTTCTGCTTCTGCCAGCTAAAGACTGACCCCTGTAAGCAGTTACAAATCATATATATGAATGTTAATTCTAAACAGGTCGTAGAAGGTGTTTTTTTCATTCCACCTGCCTGTTTTTCTGTAAGGATGACTCTCCCTAGAAGCTGATCTTCCAGACCCTTCATGGTGACGGTGAAATCGATGATGGAGGTGCGAGCGCTGATCTCAGGCGTATAGGCTGGGTTGGGAAGCTTGGTGGTCAGATAAAGTCGGAATCCATTCATAACATCTACTTCTTTATCCCCAACTTTGACCTAATTTTTTTAAAAAAACATGCAAGTGAAAGAAACAGAAGCCTACAAACATTCTATTCCACAATTTCAAACACCAGTAAGTTAATTATTCGATTCTAGTTTTCATTTAATTTCTAGCAAGTGTCAAATATAACAAGCGACCTCTTATAGAACTAATTTTGATATAGGGTTGGATCCCACATAGATTTCTGCAGCTACTGGGGGGGGGGGCAATTCTTGCCACCTCCCCCCTTGAATGGTAGCCCTGAAATGCTGCTCCTAGGAGACAAGGGGACTCCCAGGAATAGCTTGAGGGGAAAGTGGATGTCTCCCGTGGGTGGGGGGGGGGATGGGCAAAAATCACCCCTCTCCCTGTACCCATTAGAAATCTATGTGGGATCCAATCTGTAGTATTTTAGCTCTTCATGTGGAGGAGAAGGGTCCAACTTTACTTGAGTTTTGTAGACACCCACCCCCCCTTTTTTGTCAATCTGTGGGTGAGATCACACAAGCAGTTTGGCCTGACATAGCCACCCCTCCCCTCTGGATCAAATGGGCACAATCAAACACACATCTGGCTCCCGTGCCCCAGTCATTCGTGCCCTTGCACTACTAAAACAACTCCCACACACGGATTAAACAGCCACTGGCAAATCCCGGTGGTTACCTTGGTGAGGCGCTTCCATGGTGGGTTTGCAGGCATCTGATTGCCCAGGCACGCCATGGAAGTGCAAGAGCAGTGTCATCACTACTCTCCGTTTCCGGCATGTCCCTTTGTTTCCCCCCCCCCTCCAACCCCACTCTGAGGTGCACTTCGGTGCCCCCATCGGCTGCCGGTGGGGCTCCTGCGTGGAAGTGCACGTGCACATGCAAAGCCCGGGGTTTGGGTGAGGAAGCAGGGATGGGGGAACCTAGAGATGCTGCAGGCAAACTCCAGTGCCACGTGGGAGAGCCGCAGAACGCTTATCATCCGATTCCCAGGTCACGGACTGCTCTGCTACATGGGGAGGGGACAGCAACTGGTCACCCTGGGCAGTGGGGCGATATCTAGGGGGGCCAGGGAGAAGTAGTTCATGTCAGGGAGAAGTAGTTCTTGGAACTACATGGGGGCTGACTGAACTTCCTGACAGGAGCACGTCTGCGCTTATCCACTTCTGCACATGTGCAGCAGGACTTAGGGAAAAAATCCATTCAGCCATGGGTCCGTGGTTGCGGTGCATTGCCAATGTGAGTGACCGACCACGGGCCCAAAGCACTATGGTGCCAGCTTAGCAGCGGCTGTGTGATCGACACAAAGCATCCCAAACTCAAGCAGCTTATTTAGAGCTGATATACCGCCGTGGCAACCCGCCCGTCTGACTGCACCCTATGATTCTCAAATCAGTGTCATTGGTTCACTTTCAACTGGTCTCCAAGGCCAGGTTGAAAATACAATAACAAACATTGAAGGACTGCAGGTTTATGGAACCTGCCTCAGGAAGCAACTCACTTTCACCCTGACCTGGATAGCCCAGGCAAGCTTGATCTCGCCAGATCTCAGAAGCCAAGCAGGGCCGAGCCTGGCAAGTACTTGGGTGGGAGACCTCCTTGGAATACCAGCAGTCAGGATACAGAGGCAGGCAATAGCAAAGCCACCTCTCTGAATGTCCAAGCCCCACTAGGGGTGGCCAGAAGTCAACCATGAGTTCCCGGCATTGCACGCGTGCACACACACAATTTTTTTTTTTTAAAAAGAGGCAACTCACTTTCCAGCACAAACCTTAAAAGGAATCAAAACGCAGTGTGCGTTATTACAGTAAACACCTTGAAGAATGGAAGAATGAGAAACAGCATTCAGTGGAGAAATCAGAAAGTGAAGAAATTAAAATTAGAAATGCAAATTAGGAAACATTCTAAGTAAACAACCAGGAAGTTTGCTGCATGAAAACTGTGGGGGGAGCCCCGCCTTTCCACTTGAGTTGGAGGAGGAGGAGGAGTGATAAAGGAAAAAGCGCCCCCCCCCCCCCCCCTCCAGCCATGAGCAGAACCAACCGGAGAGGCAAGCGGGAAGCATCTAGGCAAGAAATCTCCCACGTGCCCCCCCCCTCCCGGGGCAGCAGCAGCAGGAGTGTGGAGGTACACTTAAGCCCTTTCCACACTCACAACTTACTGGACGGTATACGAGCAGTCAAGACTTTATTTTATCTGTTTATTTATAAATTAAATGTATACATCGCCCAATCCCTTAGTTCACAGGGCTCTGGGCAATGTACAACAGTAAATAAAATCCAATATAAAAATAAAGTGACAATAATAAGAGATTCAGTACAGTATTTCCTGCACCTCGGCGTCTAGTCATGGCGGCCACATGACCACGGAAATGTCTTTGGACAGCGCTGGCTCTTCGGCTTGGAAACTGAGATGAGCACCGCATCCCTAGAGTTGGATTTGACAGGCTTTCGAGCAAGGGAAACCTTTTACCTTTACCTAAGTAATTTCAAGTAAGCCAATTACACCATGCCCAAATCTATGATGACCAAAATATGGAACTGAGCTTTTTTTTTTGTACTGACTGGCTACACCTTATGAAATAGAAGAGATTTCCTTCTCTCACCTTATAGGTAGAACCAGTTTTGATGAAATTCTTTTCAAGGACATTATCCAAGGCTGGATCCAGCTCCTCGCCGACATCTTCAATTAACAGGGGCCTCCCAAGAGAAAGGCTGTCTTCCAAGTGGTTTCTAAAATATTTGTGATTCAGAGAGGAGATCTGAAAAGAGAACCGCCTCGATCATGTATTATGGGGACCCAAAAACAAAAGCACACAGACCAACTTTGCAACTCCTCTATTGTTTAAAGTGCATCCAGGGGTTTCGGAACTATTTTATCAAGTTGTGCCAAAACAACCAGACAGATTCAATTCACCACTGTAGCACTTAAAGTTTTAATCCAACTCACAATGGCTTGAGTCCGCAAAAGGATTTCTGCAGACAGATAATGCGCCAATTTCCCCAGCTGGCCCCTCACATGGCAGACGTCAGCCTCTCGCCTCATGCTGTTTCTCAAGGACTCCTGGACTCCAGAAGCAAACTTTGGGTTGCAGTGAGAGGTGAAGAAGCAGCTCTCTGCTAACATGAAACCCTTTCCATCTGTAGAGATCCTCCAGTGGATCCAACTCAAAGCACTCAGCCTGGGCATCGGGACTCAGACTCTTGCCTGGTGTTTCAGATCACAGTTTCAAGAGCCACAGGGCGTCTGTCACCTTGCCTTCCCCAAAGGAGGCAATGGCAGAGAGATCAAGCCCAAGGAAGCAGCCAACTGCACCCACAGAGTAAATCTCAGTCAAGGCTTCTAAAAGTCAGGTTTGTCCACTGGCCTGAGTGAGGAGGAGGAGGAGGAGGAGGAGGAGGAGGAGGAGGTGTCAGCTGGCTGCAGGCCGTCTTCCCTTGGCTCTGCATGGCCTTTGCTTGTCCCGCTTTCTGCTTCCCAGAAGTCTGGGCTGACATCAGGCCCGTCACATCTAACGTTAACTTCTACCATCAACAAGCCTTCAACTGGCAAAAATCACAAAGCAAATGGGCTTTGATAAAGTCATAGAGATCAGGGACTCTGAAGTGTGGGTTGCAACTGTACTAGGACTTCTGAAAAGGAGGAGCATGTTCACAAGAACTTGCCATGGGCCCAAGTTAGCTCAAGCCAATGACGATGTACCTTACTGTGGAAGCAGAAGCTGAGAAGATTAGCCTTTCCCCTTTCTACAAAGTGACATGGAGGTGGTGTGGGTCCTTCCTGAGGTAAGGGGGCAGCATAGTCTGAAAAATATCTCCCTGATTGGTAATGCTACTGGAGACAGAATTATGGCAACACTATTGGCGGGGGGGGGGTACCTGAGCTTCAAGCTAAATGTAAATGATATGCAAAGTGAGTTACTCTTGTCTGACAATTCTATTAGTTTCCAACCATGCCCAAATTCATTTTAGCAACCAAATTAGGACAAGCCATGTTGGATTAGGCCAAGGACCCCTCCAGTCCCACACTCTGTGTCACACAGTGGCCAAAACCCAGGTGCCATCAGAAGGTCCACCAGCGGGGCCAGAACTCCAGAAGCTCTCCCACTATTGCCCCTCAAGCCTCAAGAAGATAGAGCATCACTGCCCCAGAGTATAAGAACATAAGAGTAGCCATGTTGGATCAGGCCAATGGCCCATCCAGTCCAACACTGTGTCACACAGTGGCCAAAACCCAGGTGCCATCAGAAGGTCCACCAGCGGGGCCAGAACTCCAGAAGCCCTTCCACTGCTGACCCCCAAGCACCAGGAATATAGAGCTTCACTGCCGCAGACATAGGGTAGGGATATCCTTTTGGAACACAGCAGCAGCTTTAGAAACATACATTTTTGAAATTGGTTTCCAATAAACACACACACACAGTGTAGAAATATATATGGGAAATGGAATCTAATTTACCTGCAATTCATTCCTGGTTTCCTTGTTTTTAATCCAGATCTTTCCCTGGGTCTGTGGATCAATCAGTAAAGGGTAGCGGGCCGCTTTTGTGACAATGATGCCATTCTGTATGGACAGGTCATCATTCGGCAGCCCCTGAAGGTTCCATTCACTGACCGTTGGTGCATCAATCAGCATTTCTGTGAGATTGAGATTGTTTCCAAATGGGATTTTCCGGGTTTTCATCTCCTTTTGCCAACCATTTAATAACAGATTGCGGAACTCTTGGTTAAAAGGACCAGAATAGGACAGAAAAGCCGTGGCCAGCAACACGTCACCTGAATTAATACAGAGAGAGAATGTGCCAAGTACAGTGTTAGTAACATTGCTGAACATAAAACACTGGACTTGCTTGTGAAGGTTTCTTCTCATCAGTGAATTGGAAGGTATCCTTGTATGGGGTTGTGGGCAGGGCATATGCAAATTTCTTGTAAAGACTTACCCTATCCTGGGGGGGAGCTGAATAGAGGGGCTCCTTAATAAAGGTGTTGGTGACAACATGCAAGCAAGGGCACTCTCTGGAGCGTGGCTACATGGGAACCTGCAGTTATGCCTTATGCAGATATGTAGAAGCCAAGAAGTCCTCTGGCAGGAGGGTCTCCACTGTGAACTAGTCTCCAACTGTGGAAGGGTCTCTGTACCAACCTCCCCCGTCTTGCTACCTGAAAGTCCTGTAAATCTAGGACCGGTCTCCAAGTGCTATGTTTCTTGAGCACAATGAATGGAATGAAGAAGGTCCTGGAAAACCTTCTGTCTTCAGAACCAGTACCATGGCTTGATTCTGGCACAGGTACCTGGTGGCTTGGAGACTAAGCTGATGTCACACTGGCCTGTTGGATCCCAGGGAGAAAGGAGATCTCTTCACCCAGGAATCGAGGAGGTCTAGAACATTCCCAGCCAACCAGTGTGATGCACCAAGGAGGCCTTATTAAGAAGCTGGCTTTGGAGGTGAATCAGAATGTGTTCCAGCCTGGCCTGTGGAATCTGGAGTCCCTTTGGTGGAAGGATTCTACGGATACTGAAAGGATGTGTGACCTATTGGATATCTCCCCAGCTTGTTTGGAAGAAGAGGCCATTGGCTGCCTCTTGCCCTTGATCTCCACCAGGACTTCATCTGATACAGTATTCCCACAGAATTTTAGAGAGGTTATTTTTCAGATCCACTCCAGTGGCCAGAACTAGGGACAACATTAGAGGCTAAGGAGCATGCAAAGAATTGCATGGCCCCCAGGATGTCATCCACAGAGCCCTCAAAGGCTCTGCTGATCTGAAGGAGGTCTTGTTGGCACCTGAATGGGCCAGGGACGAGGACCTAAAGAGATTTCTCTGCCCTCTCAGTGTGGATGCTCTTGCTTTGAGGGCAAGGTCTAGGAACTCCTGGGTTCTTTAATGGGGTTGTCCCCATCTGTTTGAAGGAATCACATCTGGAACAAGACAGTCATCAGGCTTATCCTGGAGGAATCTACAGGGCTGTCATCTACTTGCCAAGGCCTCCTAGCCATGCAGAGTTGAGGAGAAGAGCGGCACCATCTTGAACTTAGCTGTGGGCATCTCCACAGTGCTTCAGAGCACAAAATGGCTGGCTGCCCACTCCCCTTCAGCAGAAGGGCAGTTGGATCCAGATGGCAAGTGGGGGGAGGGGGAGGAGGAGGAGGGTTGGTTTGTATACCCCACTTTTTGCTACCCGAAGGAGTCTCAGAGTGGCTGACAATTTCCTTCCCTTCCTCTCCTCACAACAGGCGAGAGTTTGGAGAGAATGGTGATGGGCCCAAGGTCACCCAACAAGGCTTCATGTGGAGTCGGAGGAGTAGGAGGAATCGGACTCGGTTCTACCAGATTAGTCTTTGGGCTCCAGGAAAACCAAGAGGACACCTGCTGTGTTGCTGCAGGGGGCTGAGGAGCGGGGGAGGCACAAGCCTGAATCTTGCTCCCCTCCCGTGAGGCTTCAGACACGGTCCTTGCCCGGGCAGAGGGTGAACCGGGCAGGTGACAGAAGTGCCACTTACCCCAAAGGTGGCGTCCTTCAAGGCAGCAACATGAACCACAACAGACAGCATCCACAAGAGTGGGCCTGTTCAGTTACTCACTGTCTTTTTTGTCAGCACAAGAGTTCATCAGCTGAAGCAGCCATTGTTGTAGTACATTGAAGAATGCCACCTCTTGGTTCCAAAAGCTTCATGCAAGCGTATTGTCACCTTCAAGGTATGCAGAACACTTTGTTATTTTTCATGCAGAGATTGGAAATGTTCCTGGCGTGTTCTAATAAGCTAGCCAGAAAAACATGACGGACATTCCTGAAGTTTTGTATTTTATGTGACCTCCACAACTCTGCAGAACACCAAAATGGTGGTGCCGTTGCCTTACCCACAAGCCTCTTGGTTTGCACAGCAAACTCTTTGCTCTGTTCTGTCCATCTCTCTTTCTCGCCAGCCAGCCCACTGATCAAACTGGAGGCTGTCTGCATTTTACGCCTGCAGCGTTCTGCATCCTCCAGCAGCGTCTGCCAAAATCCAAATTGAGACAGGTTAGTGGAGAAAACAGCTTGGTCCAAACCTTGCTTATAACAGTTTAACATCACATGATGCATCCCCACCTCTTATTAGTATGAACAGCCTATTGAGCATTACACGTTATGATTGCATCTGGATAGGCTCCCTACATAGACTCGAAGCACATATTTCTCTGTAATCAAAGCTCTGGCCAAAGGCATTTAAGAGCCGTGTGCCACAATGCCGAGAAAGAGTCCAGTGGGGGCACCTGTAAGCAGTGTTCCCTCTAAGCTGAGTTAGCGTGAGCCAGCTCACAGTTTTTTAGCCTCCAGCTCATACATTTTTGTCTCCGCTCAGGAAGGATGGCTCCAGAGCAAACTGATTTCTGCAATAGCCAGATCGCTCGCTCACAATGTTAATGCCAGTAGCTCACAAAGTAGAATTTTTGCTCACAAGACTCCACAGCTTAGAGGGAACATTGCCTGTAAGACCCACAGAGTTTAATTCTGGGCACCCGGCTTTCATGGGCCTGCAGACCTCACAAAGCAGGTTTCCGGGGTCCACGGGCTCAGGATCAGGAACGTAAGTTTTATGTATTTCATTTATACCCCACGTTGTTCTCCTCGCCTTTGTTTTCTCCTCACAACCACCTTGTGAAGTGGGGGTCAGGCTGTGAGAGGCTGACGGGCCCAAGGTCACCCAGCCAGCTTCCATGGCAGAGCAGGGAGACGAGCCTGGGCCTCCCAGACCCCCTACTGACACTCTGCTCACGACACCCCTTTCGCCAGAGGCACCAAAGCAACCGACGAGCTCATGCAGGCTTTATGCAAGACAGCCAGTATGGTGCCGCTGTTAGATCAAGGTCTGGGAAGATAAGATGAGAAGGAGGGAACCGGGCACACTGCTTCGAACTTCTCGGAGGAAGGGCAGAATGGAAGTGTAGTACGGAGAGCTGGCACCTCCAACGATCACAGCCATCCTCGCAGTAGCTCTGCATGGGGGGGGGGGAGATGTCTGGGGAGAACGAGTGAGTTTGTGGCTGAGGTGAAGTATTGCACGAGGGAGCTTCCTCACTCCCAGCTTATGCAATACAAGCTAGGGGCCCTAATTTAAAATAAGAACTACATGAAAGGAGTCAGGGAATGCACCAGAAGTGGTAACGTTTGTGTTTTGTTTTTCAAAAAGAGAGAGTCCCAATTCTTCACTAGCAACAAGCTGCCATTAACTAAACACAAAATCAAAGAAAGAACATGGGTTTAAAATAGATTTTCTAGCACATTCTGAGATATATGGGAAAGGGCAACACAGCCCAATGGCAAAACAGCCCAGAGAGGACGGTTTACCAACTTAGCACAGCAGTCCAGGGTTCCTATTGCCCTGCTCAGTGGAGGGAAGAACCAGACTATGCCCTGGATTTCGGGTCAGGTGCTGAACGTCACAAGAGTCTGTTCACCACTTGGCAGGACAACGCAGATGATCCGCTCACCACACGGCGACGTGCATCCCATAGTTAAATGCTCAACAGACTTCCGGGTGAGCTCCATGGAACTGTACCTGTTTCTCCCGCATGGCTTTCTCATACTCGGCCTGCACAATGTCTAGTTCCGCCTGCTTGGCGTCCAGCTCCGCCTGGGCCTTCTGCAGATCCAGCATGGCAGTGGTGAGCCGGTTCTCCTGGACGGCCAGATTCGCCTGCAAGTCGCCAGTTCAAGCAGCGCAAGTCAGAAAACGCCCTGCAGAGCTGCAACTGATTTCCCCAACACTCAGGCGCATTCTCCATCCCTCCACGGAGCCCTCCCTGCCCCACCAAATTAGAACATGTCGGACTGCACATTTGTAGGAGAGCTGGATCCCAAGAGCAGCTGGAAGACAGTTTCTGAGGTACGAACTTTCCAGAGTCAGAGCTCCCCTCGTCAGAGACCCGAGTCCAGTGAGCCGCCGACTCTTGCAAAGGCTTCCCCCCCGCCCCCCCAAAAAAAAGCCGTGTTGGTCCCTCAGGTGCTTTTTGACTCTGATCCAGCTCTTGCGGCAACCCTCTGGAACTATCTGCACTTTGGAAGAGTAACTCACATCAAATTAACAGTTAATGAGATAGTAGGTTTTATTCAACAAGTGTTAAGAAATTTGAGAGCCTTTGCATAGAGATGCCAGTGCTCAATCTACACACTCTGCAGAATGAGTCAGTCACATCCTAAGATAACAGACTATAGTGCAGGACTTCACAGTCCAGGACGGGCATATTAATGGATGCTCCTTCATACCCCAAAACTACCTGCAAGTGGGAAACCAGCACACCAGGAAGCAGGCAGGGCTGGAATCTTTCTTCTTGCTGTGCTAGTTTCCGACTTCCCATGAGTTTCTGGACACAGAAGACCATTAAAAAAAATGCCACCCCTCCTACCTCCACTGGTACAGTCCAGTCTACCGCTAACTAACTGTGCCTCATTTTCCTGAATTTTAACACACACACACACACACACCTCTCTCACACAGGCTTATGATGGAACCCTTTGCCCTGAGCATGGCAACAACATACATCCCAGCTGACTCCATTTTACTCTGGCCTTTCATCATTTATCTGGGCTTACTTTTAAAGGCAGAACTTCCTTGTTGATAGCAAAGAAAGACGCCATCGCTTTGGTCCACGAGCAAAGGCCGGCCACATTTCCGCACACTCGTTTTGCTGTTTCAATGTTGTAGTCACTCATACCAAAGTAAGGGCTCAACAGCTCGACGACTTCTTCGTTAATTGTGTCTTTGGGAAATTGCTAGATACACCAAGGGGACAGAGATGCTTTACCGGTGGCACAGAACTCAACCAACAAGTCACTGTTTGATTGGTCTGACTGGTTCCTGATTCACTCTAGTAGTCCTGGTTTCAGTATATTTGAATGAGGAGTACTGCTCTGTGTTGCACGGGTTCTCTTAAAATATCTGGCTTTCTGCGCCTGGCTCTATAGAGCAGATTTTACCATCAAAACATCCCCCCCCCCATTCTGTAGCATTGTGCTGCCGTCACGGTCTTCACTAGCAGTCAGATTCTATGATGAGATCACAAACTGAGGGGTCGTTTATCATGATATCTTAAGTAGGCCCCAGCTATGCCTGCAGGAGTAATTCAGGGACAAAAATCCACCATAATTTATGGTTCATTCACAGAGATCCTGTGTAGGTGCTAATGGAGGGATGGCCCCAAAGGGGAAGGAGCAGGGGCTCCCACTGGAATTGCATCTGTGGCCGAATATAGAGACCATTTCAAGTTAATCCTTCAGTGGTGGTGAAAAGTACCATCAGGTCACAGGAAACTTATGGCAGATGCAGACTTTTTAAGGCAACAGATGAACAGAGGTGGTTTTTGCCACTGCCTGTGTTAAGTCGCTCGCTTAACAAAGCAGTCGGAGAGTGATTCAGCAAGAACACAGCTTTATTCTTCAGCTCGAACACAACTCCAACACGGATCAACATCTGATAGCCAGAACAGCCCTGACATTGCAGCTGTCCTGCTTTTAAACATCCCCGGCTAATGTAGCCACACCCACTGTACACATATCAACCCATGAGGTTGCCGAGATAATATCCAATCACATTAGTTCCCGCTCAGGGAGCTTGTTTGAAGTGATTGGCTTGTTACTTCCTGGGCTAGCGATTTTATTGGATGACTTTGGATCCTAGCCCGGGACGGAGCTTAACATCACATTCCAATTAGGTGTTTCACACATGTTAGGCATTCAAGGCAGCTTTGAATACACTACAGCCTGCCTCTGCATAGTGACCATGGTGGACTCCCATCCAAGAACTACCTCCCAGAGCCGACCCTGCTTAGCTTCCAAGATCTGACGAGACTGAACGCAGGAGGGCAATCATTATGCACTTCACTTTAAATAGTCATCGTTAAACAGAACGGAACATGGGAATGCCTTCCCTATCGAGTGCTAAACTGGTATATACATTACATGAGCCTAGTTCATTAACTGAAAACAGAAGCGATGTTTTCAGCTGATGAAACCTCAGCAGGGGAGAGAGATTTCCCTATCCCTGCAATATACACCATTTTGCTCCCCCCCCCTCCCCAATTCCTTGAAAGGGAGGTCTTCACATTCGGTCCCTGCTCCCCAGGCCCATCCCCTCGCGGCCGTGCTTTTCACACACCTGCAGGTTCTGTAGGAAGTTCCCTGCAGTCATCAGCCTCAAGGACTCCTGCCACGAGGGGGTGGTGCAATTTTTCTCCAGGTCCGCTTTGACAGTGTTGACCCTCCTCTGGAACAGCAGCAGCACGCAGTCCATGATCCGCATGATGAGATGAGGCGGACGGCCCAGTGTGCGGACGGTGGCAATGTCTGAAGGCTTGATCGTCTAGGGTGTCGAAAGGGAACACGATGAAAAGGATTCTCAGGGGATAGGCAAGTTGATTTTTCCATGACAAATTAACAAGGAATTATCTGCTGACTTTCATCCAGTCTTTGCACAAAAGCCTCCAGAGTTTATACAAGGAAATTCACCTCTACTGCAAACAGATGGATCTGCCTGGCCTCACTGCATCCGTCCTCCTTCCAGTCCTGCTGGTCCCCAACAGATCGGCAGACACATCTGCATGCCTCCAGCTGCCACCCCAACCACATCAAACAACCCACTGTCTGCAGCCAAGCCCGACGCAATAGTCCTACCTCTCACACAGAGATACTCACCTGAAGGATCTACAGCAGGCATTTTGGCAACTACAATACCCTCCTGATATGGTGATAAGGATGAGTGGGAAGGCCAGAATGATACCCAGGGACAGCTTGCTACAAGACAAGCCCAAGGAAAATGACAACAGAACACCACTGGTGATTGCCTACAGCTCACAACTCAGGCCAGTTCAACCCATTATTAATGACCTACAACCCATGCTGGACAGTGACACTTCCCTTGCACAGGCACTGGGGGGGGGCAGCCTTTTCTTGCTTCCAGCCAGCCTGCTAACCTAAAACAACTTCTCAACTGCTGTCCCAGCACGGATTGGCTGGGACTTGGTCCACCCCCCCTCCCACAAGGCCACCACCAGCAACCCCCCCTCACCCACAGGAAGCCAGCTATGGCCACACCAGTCCCAGAAGGAGGAGACAACGTCGTAGACAGTGGTGAGAAACGCCCTGGAGGAAGCTGCAATGGCCCGCTCAGCCATGCCAGGCCCCAGGTCCGAGGTGAGCATGGAGGATGTAGTGCTAAGACGACTTCAGGCCAGAGGGCCATCGGGAGGGCAAGGAGACAGACAGGAGAAGCCGCAGGAAACCGTGGCACTGTCCCTGATGAGGCTCGTGGCAGGGAGTTGTGCCTAACCCAGAAACTGCCCACAGTGTCAGGCCCCAGGACAACGGCTCCACCCTGGGATGCAGCTGGGCCTCTGGGGTTAAGTATGGGAGCATAGCCAGTCAGGAGAAGGAGAAAGGCAGGTGAAGGGGTGGGCTCAAGGGCCAGGGAGGGGTTGAGGAGGAGACGGCGGGTAGCCCAGACAACCCCACACACACACACACAGAGAGAGAGAGAGAGAGAGAGAGAGAGAGAGAGAGAGAGAGAGACAGCAGGCACCAGCAGGCCGGTGTGGAGGTGGGGTGAGGACCCTGAGTCCCCTCCATCAGAGAAAGAAGGCGCTTCTCCCCGGGACGATGTGTGTCTGGGGAAGGCACTAGGGCCCAGAAAGGGGTTCACGGGGAGCCTAAGGAGACTTCAGGGCAACGGCTACCGGGGGGGGGTCTCCTATGGGAGGAGGCGGGGTGTGACACCTGCGATGGTAAACTACTTAACAGTAACATGGACTGTGGTACCGTGGCTTGCAGCAAACTAAGATGGAAACTTTGGGCTCCTATAGATCCTAGCAACACCCTCGGTGGACCCAGCAACACCAGCCAGGCCATCTCAGGTTCTGACGCCTGCTCATCCTCTAGTGTGATTTATGCCATCACGTGTCAGCAGTGCCCTTCCACTCTCCACATTGGACAAACAGGCCAGTCCCACAAAGACTTAATGGGCATGAGTCTGACATCAGAAACCACAACATTCAAAAACCAGTGAGGGAACATTTTAACCTTCCAGGACATTGAATGGCTGACCTAAGAGTAGCAATTCTCTTACAAAGGAATTTCAAAGGGAGATGAGAAAGAGACTGCTGAATTGCAACTGACAATGAAGCTCACAAAGAACACATCCTCCTGGACTGAATTGAGACGTAGGTTTCCTGTTTCATTACTAATGCTGATTTCTCAGTGCCTTCTACCCCTCTGCATATCACACTAATCCAATGATGCCTGCTATTGTCATTCACTTGCTATTGTCATTCGGCATCTGAAATCACTCCACTCTCCAAGATATAAGGACAGATGGACTCACATTCTAGTTGTATTTGAAGAACTGAGCAGTGACTCACAAAAGCTCCTACCCTGCCATAAATTTTTAGCCTTTAAGGTGCTACTGGACTCTTGCTCTTTGCTACTGCTACCAGAAGTTTTTGTAGCTGTTTTTTTTCTTAAGAACATAAGAGATGCCAATGTTGGATCAGGCCAAAGGCCCGTCCAGTCCAACACTCTGTCACACAGTGGCCAAAAATACCAGGTGCCATCAGGAGGTCTAGCGGTGGGGCCAGGACACCAGAATCCCTCCCACTGTTGCCCCCCCAAGCACCAAGAAGCTGGGCCAAGTCTGCATCCTTCAATGACCTAGTACTAACTTGCAAAGCTGCCTCGGCTTCTTCTAAAGCGGGCCTGGCAGCCTCCAACTTTTCTTCAGCAGTGGCCTTGTCTGCTGAGATACTGTCCACGATCGCCTGAGCCTTGTCTTTGACCTTCTGCACTTCTGCCTTCACCGTTTCAGCAGCCTGCGCTTTCACTGTAACTTCCTTTAACACCTACTTGGGAAAAACACACGTATTAATGGGAAAAACAAATGAAGCCTATTCATGGGAGTGTGCACACATCTTCCGGGTAGAAAATACCATAGAGAATTCATGAGCTATCAGCACTTCACATTTCAATATCCAAGTAATGAGACCCCACAAATTCTGTCACCTAAAGAATGAAAAGGCATGCTGGCCTGACCACAGGCATCCATCAGTGAGTTTCTTGGCCCCACTTCCTTCTTCCCCAAAGTAAAGATCCAGTCTTGGCTTTTCTGTTCCATATTGGAGCAGGAGTTGCTTTAGAAAGCCAGAGAGGCATCAACTTTATGTCTGCAGGGAGCACTCCTTGGAAAACCACTGCCCCCCGGTGGTGGAGAATGTTCGGCTTGCAGCCCCCCCCCCCCGGCATTCTGTGATTGGCTCCATCCTCGGTGGCAGCCATTTTGTGATTGTCCCTATGTGACTGTACCCATGTCCTCAACATCCCAGGATGCCCACAAGCTGAAGATCACGAATTCCCAACTTACCGTATCTGCTTTTTTACTGGCTATCTGAAGCTCTTTTTCTTTGGCTTCCAGCTCTTTGCTTAAGGCAGCCACTGACTCAGAGGCCTCTTTCAGTTTCTCCAGTCCAGTGTTCATCCTGCAATTGAACACAGAAGAATAATCACTCAACAGTCAAGATATCCAGTGTAGATCCCTACTGGCCTCTTGACACAGATATACTGATGTACTCCCTGTTCTTTTCACTCAGTCCGGCCCAACCGTTTTCCTGCCTCACTCTTCTTTTTAAAATAAATTCTGAGGGACATAAAAAAAATAAATCCAGCATAATTGGGACATAGAAGCTGTGGGTGAGGGACAGCTGCATGTCCCTCCTCTAGAAGTCAAATGTCCACATGGAATGCCTGGTAGGAAAAAGGATAGAGCATCTCTTCCCTGCCTGCCTCCCCCCCACCCCATGTCCTAACTGCTTCTCATGGGTGGTGGAAAGGGCCGTCAAGTCACAGCTGACATACGGCCAGCCACCCTGTGGGATTTTCAAGGCAAGAGAAGTTGAGAGGTGGTTTGCCATTGCCTGCCTCCGTGTCACGACCCCAGGTGTTGCTTGGAGGTCTCCCATCCAAATACTCGCCAGGCACAACCCTGCTTAACCTCTGAGATCTGATGAGATCCGGCTAGACAACTGAATTTCTAGCTTGGACCTCAACACGACACATCAGAGTGAAATGTACGGGGTTCAGATGCGTTGCATGATCAGCTCATAGTTTATTAAGTTATTCAGCAGTGAGAACAAAGACAAAGACCCCTGGCTGAAGCCAGGTTTTATGCCCAAAGAACGTCACACCCAAAACACACCCCACTCCCCATGATAGGCTATTTACACCAGGTTACCTTTCCAGGTAACCCTATTGGGCTCTTTTAGGATCCCAGCGTTCCTACTGGTATGCTCCTAGGATCCTAGCCTGCTTTTGTTATGGATCTCAAGCTCAATACATTACACAGAGTATTTAACACTGGGAATTAGGGATGGGCACAAACTGGGAAAATGCAGTTTGGTTCATGGTGTGTGGCTGAACCAGAAACCGAACCACAAACTGAACTAATTTGTGCAATTCGTGTCCCTGCAAAACCCACTGAAAGGGATTGTAGTGTCAGGGGTTTGCAGAAAGCCCAAAAGCAGCTGAGCAGCAGGGAGCAGCTTATAGAATCATAGAATGTTAGAGTTGGAAGGGACCTTGCAGGTCATCTAGTCCAACCCCCTGGACTTTGCAGGAGCATAGCCGAAAGAGAGCCCTACAACATACCCGAAAGATGGTCATCCAGCCTCTGCTTGAAAACGTCCTGCGAAGGAGCATCCACCACCTCCCGAGGCAGCCTGTTCCACTCCTCAACCACTCTTACAGTTAGGAAGTTTTTCCTGATATTTAGCCAGTATCGACTCCCTTGTAATTTCCACCCATTAGATCTAGTCTTGCAATCCAGAGCAAGAGAGAATAGATCTGCTCCATCTTCTACATGACAGTCCTTCAAATACTGGAAGGCTGCAATCATGTCCCCTCTAAGCTTTCTCTTTCCCAGGCTAAGCATACCCAAGTCTTTCAGCCTTTCCTCATAAGACTTGGATTCCAAGCCTCTCACCATCCCTGGTTGCCCTCTTCTGGACACGCTCGAGCTTGTCAACATCCTTCCTAAAATGTGGTGCCCAATACTGGACACAGGACTCCAGGTGAGGCCTGACCATAGCAGAATAGAGCGGATCTACCACCTCTTGTCCCATTATGCTCAGCCATTTTGGGCTGTCTTGTGCAATCCCTTTAACCTTTAAAGGGACTGCAGAAGACAGCATGAAAAACTGGTGGAGAAGTCCCCCTGAAAAGGACTTCACCCTTCCCTTTCTGCTGGCCGAAGGGACTTCACCCCTTTCTTTCTGCTGGCCACAGCAAGAAAAAAGCAGGGACATTTAAACCTTGCTTTCTACTCCTTGTAAGAACCTGTGGGGAACTAAAAGCAGGGTTAAAATGGCTCCCGGCTATTTAAACACTGCTTTCTGCTCCCCGCAGCTTTTTGTGGGGAGCAGAAAGCTGGGCCATTTAAACCAAACAGCTGAGCGGCAGGGAGCTCCCAGCCCCTCGGCTGTTTCTCATGAAGAGCAGAATTTTCACAACTGGCCATGGACCACCACAAATTGCCCCAACATTTGTGGAAGTTTGTTGTGTTTTTTGAGTTCATGAACTTCAGTTCGTGTATCACGAACCGGCCAAAATTCATGACGAACTTTTGTCAGCCAGTTTCTGCTCATCCCTACTGGGAACTAGCTAATATGCACATGATGTCTATGCATTGTATGGAGAAAAATAACTGGAGATGGAAGTAGGAAAGTCAACACTTCACCTGTTGGCCAGTGTCTGCACCTCAGCATGTTTTTCTTTGTAGATTGCTTTATATCCCTGGATGAAGGACAAGTAAGATTTGGGAGTGACGTGGGTGGACCGACGGTATCTCTGGAAATAATCCACACACTTCTCAGCAACTCCATCCTGGAAGGAGCCCATGCACTGCACCATCTCTCTCTTGGTCTCATCCGTACAGTCAACATCGTAGGAGGACAAGAAATGTTCAGACACTAAAAAAAAGAAAAAAGATACTGTGTTATGTTTGATATGACGAATTTCGGACATACATCACGGCCTTCCAGGCAATTTTGAATTTCATCTACCATGGAACCCTTAAGCGTTACTTAAGGCCCCATCACAAAAGGCAGATTGATAGTTTCGCCATCTAGGGTTGCCAACCTTCAGGTAGGACCTGTAGATCTCCTGGAATTACAATTAAAACAGCTCAGTCCCTCTGGGGGAAATGGCTGCAAGGCAAGAGGTGTTCAGAGGTGGTTTGCCATTCTCTGCCCTCTGCATAGCAACTCTGGTACTCCTTGGTGGTCTCCCATCCAAATACTAAGTAGGGATCGACCCTGCTTAGCTTCCAAAATCTGACAAAATTGGGCTAGCCTGGGCTGTCCGGTTCAGGGCTAATAGAACCCACATGGCACTCTAAATAAATGAATTCATTATTCTTAATGATTGCAAATTCGGACAATAATTTTTTTATTTTGATTTTTTTAAAAAAAATATGTATGCCATAGGCCCAGAAATAAAATTACCTTCACACTTATCCTTTTTTAGTAATTATCAGGTAGCTATGCTAGTTTTCTTGTCTTGATGGGATAAACATGTAAATGTGTTTCATTTAATTCCTACATCTGAAATCCACACATCAATGTGCTTTTAAAGAAATATTCAGTTGTCCAATAAGTTCTATGAACATTGGCACATTTGAGATGACAAAACCCTCTCATATTTTTAAATAAAATAAATTTAGTAGTTCTGTGATTCACAGCCCCCACGGAAACGAATAAGTTCATTCCCCATTAAATGTGTTTTAAGCCCCCCCGGAATCATCCAATACATCTCCAGGGGTGTGATCAGATGAGCACTTTGATCTGTTGTCATTGCTTCTCACCATCAGATTTAAATTCCTCATTCAGACAGCAACATCCGTATCCTGTTCCGTAGTCATCATTTCCCTGTACTCACCCCCAAATTTCCCAACACTGGATAAAGTCTGATATTTATTGAATCGACCAGGTTCACAACACATATCCGGATGTCTCATAGCTCCGTTGTGCACTCAAGCTCTTTGGGAAGTCTGAAGCTTCCACTCCATGGCGGCCATTTTTTTTACTCAGTTAGCAATGTGTGCATAAGCACATATTCACACCTGGGTTGTGAATCACTGCCTGGTGGCGAATAAGCACTTCTGCACATGCACAAAAAGGATTTTTTTAAAAAAGATGCTGCCTGAGTGCCTGCTCCATGTTTACCACAGCGGTAGTCTGGACGGTCGACCACGTGCATGTGCACGGTGAGACAGGATAAGGATGGAATGTTGGGACAAAACTCTCCAGAACAGGTAGTACTGGATAATTTTTTTCTTGAAATTTTTGCCATCTTGGAATAGACTTCTATCTATTGATTTAACTTACTCTAGATTTTCTGTTGTTCTTATCCTGTTGTAAACGACCCGGCGCCTTGCCTGCAGGGAAGGGCAGTCTAAAATTCTAAATAAATAAATATGTTTTCCTTTAAAGGGGAAAATACTCATTACAGTCTGAGGTGTGTTCACTTGGAGCTCGTTCTTGTTTTTTGGAGAGAGAAGGGGAGGAAGACCTTTTCTTAATATCATTATTGTACAGACGGCTTTCATTGTATGTTATGTTCTTTTTAGCCATATCTGAATAAAGGGGTTTTCTGTGTCTTTATAATTAATCTTCCTGGTTCAGCGGTTCTATCTTAAGAAGATAGTCTGTAATAAACTCAAACCTCTTATAGATAAGCTATAAGTGTGTCTGCTAGCAGACTGGGATTTTGGGGCCTCTTTCCAATATTCTTGTCAGAAATTGCCGTTATCATCTTTCCCCATTGAGAGGAATAATTTTGGTTCAGAGAGTGATATCTGTCAAGTTCCTCAGCCTCCACCTGGCTCTGTAGCATTAAAAGATCAAACCTATTTTTTAAAGAAACTGGAGAGACACTAATAAAAAAAATCTAGTCTGCTGTGTTTTGGTTTCATGTTAAAATCCTCTTCAAATGGGTGGACCCATTTTTTATCCATTTCAATAGTCAATAATCAATAATATAAATCTAAACCATATAACCAATATACAACCATTTAACTCTAGATTAAATTGGGGCAGCTAAAATAACTTAAAAGAGCTTTAAAAAGGATTTTTTAAAAAGGATTTAAAATTATTTAAAAGTTAAAAGCAATGAAAAACTGTTATAAATTGTTTAAAATAAAAGCTAAAACCAGTTAAAACAGCAAGAATAAAAAACCTATTTAAAACAAAAGCTAAAACTGATTTTAAAACTAGCTAAAACAATACACCTCCATGGCAAAGCACAGCCTGCAAATGCCTTCTCACATCCTCCAACCTGTCTTATATCCTCCACTGTTCTCAGCACAGCTGGAAATGGACCGATTTAACCCAAATTAAAATAATAATAAAATAAAATCTGAGATGGAACAAGTTGCCATTGAGAACACTACAGCTATAAAAGTGGAAGGGGGCAAGCCATCTCTGCCTGCACGCCAGCTGTTCCCCTCTCGCCCCCCAAGCTAATCAGGCCACACTCAGCGTCTTATCAAGGGGTACATGGGAAACATCCTAAAAATAAAATTAAAGAGGCTCGAGCCTGCCAAAACAGTTGCCTTGAGGCAAAACAAAGCCCGGCAAAACAGGATCCAGATCAGCAAGCTCAAAAGAAAAGATATCAAATAGACAGAAAAGTGAAAAAGAAAACTTAGCTCTTCACAGAGCACAGCACAGCACCACTGCCAAGCCAGCCAGAAACAGGAAACTATAGTTGGCTACAGGCGCCATTCTTGTGCTGTCGGAGCCACTAGCAAAATCTATCTCGAATGGCAACAGACCTCCGAACTTAAAAAAAAGCAAAGGATCTTCGGACTCACCAGCAACCAGAGCATCTTTGGGCCAGCGGCTGAACCAGTCTATAGTACAGCCAGAAATGAGGGCAGGGAATTTCAATGCTCGGTTCCGGAATTTTTCGCCCACTGGTGAAAAGCAGAGGATGACATGAAGGTTCTGGCGAACTCTGCTCATGAAATAGTCATACAAGTTCTCATTGGTTGGAGGCCGACGTGGATGCTCCTTCTTCATAACAGGAATGAGGTCACTTGTGATTTCATCGATTTCATCACGGGCAAATAAATTAGAAACCTTAGGGGGACATAGAGAACTTTTAACAACAAAAGCAGACTTATTTTACGTTTGTGTACAGACTACAGAACTGTTAGCTTGAACATCGAAGAAGAAGAAGAGGAGGAGGAGGAGGAGGAGAAGAAGAGAAAGAAGAGGAAGAAGAGGAAGAAGAAGAAGAAGAAGAAGAAGAAGAAGAAGAAGAAGAAGAAGAAGAAGAAGAAGAAGAAGAAGAAGAAGAAGAAGAAGAAGAATTGGATTTATACCCCGCCCTTCACTCAGAGTCTCGGAGTGGCTTACAATCGCCTTATCTTCCTCTCCCGTGAGGTAGTTAGGGCTGAGAGAGCTCTGAAAGAACTGTGACTGACGCAAGGTCACCCAGCTGGTTGCATGTGGAGGAGGAGTGGGGGATCAAACCCATTTCTTCAGATTAGAGTCTTAGCCAGTACATCAACCTTTACACTGATCAATTAACTCATTAGAAGGCCATGTTTAATTTTCTTCTTTGTTCCCTATTAACATCAAAATAACCTCAAATCAATAACACGCTTCTCACAACCCCATGAAATTAGAATTTGCGTATTTAAAAAACTCCCCCCTCAATTAAGCTAAGCTTTAGCACCTGACTATTTAGTCAGAATGCAGTCCCACGGAGTTCGAAGAGGCAGGTTCCCCAATTTGGTCCTCAGAGCTGCAGATTTAAAGATGCAGCTCTAACTTTAAATGAAATCCTTCACCCTGTTGTGATCCAGAAAATTCACACACATCTTCCCCAGCCCCCTCTCCTGAACGCTTCTCCCCCACTCAGCCACCAAGGTCATAAGGAAAAAGTTCTCAACTAAAAGCGAGAAAGGGGGGGAAACATCTCTTACTTCTCCTGATGAGAGGACATTGTTCATGTACTCCAAGAAAGCCTCGTCTTTTATTTCATTGTCTGTGAAAATGAAGCTGATTCCTTTCCCCTGCTGCCCGGCAGTCCTATACAGATGCTTCAGGTCTTCCATCAAGTTGGATGTGTTGTAAGACCTGAAGAAAGAACAAAGCCCTACTCAGTCATGGCTTCCAGGCCCTGACAGGTGCAGGGAGAAAAACCTTTTTTATTTCATGCCTACATATCCTTTTGTTGTCTCCTGATCTTGGGCATCGACCTACTGCTTTGGAACTCAGTCTGACTACCCGCTCAGATTGGAGGAGATACCTTTGGCCACAGCCTCGCTATTCTAAGGCTAAATTTCATTTAAGGCCAATTCCATCTTAACCCGGAAGATGCGAGGCATGCAGATGGAGACGCCTCTTGTGATGTCCTGTCCATCTTGGGTAAGTAAAGGTAAAGGTAAAGGTTCCCTTGCTTGAAAGCCAGTCGAGTCCGACTCTAGGGTTGCGGGGCTCATCTCAGTTTCCAAGCTGAAGAGGTAAAGCTGCAGGTATGTGAAACGGCAACTTTTAGAAAACATAATTTCTACACTTCCTTGTGGTTCATAGTTGATTCTTTCACTTATCCATGACCTTCTCAGAAAGAGACAATAAACTTATTTCTTTTGTTGTGAAACAAAGGTGTTGGTATGGATCTCTCAGGAGAAGGAGAGGTGCGAAGTAGTTGAAATTACCTCAGATTCATATTCTACCTCCGCAGGTATCTGCGGAGATAGCAGCACAAAATCCAGCACAGTTATTTGTTAACACTGTTAATCTCAAACCACACTATAATCTTATCAACTAGATCACTGCTACTTGAAGAACAAAGTTTGAGTCCAGTGGCACCTTTAAAATCAACAAAGTTTTATTCAAGGTCTAAGCTTTGGTGTGCACGCACACCAAAGCTTAGACCTTGAATAAAACTTTGTGTCTTAAAGGTGCCACTTGACTCAAATTTTGTTCTGTTGCTTCAGACCAACATGGTGACCCAACTGACCGTTACTGGAAGGTGCAACAGGAAGATGTGGGGAGCCAAGTAAGTGACCAGCCATCACAGTAATGTCATGTGGAAATAACAAAGGAAGTGTATTCCCCACTATTGATAACACTGCTATGTGTTTTACTATTTTTTTTAAAAAAAACCCTTTAGATGGCATTCCAATATAGCATCAAATATTTATTCCAGAATGATGGAACACAATTTGGAAACAAAAGAAAAGACCTGAATAAATTTTCCCTCACAGAAAAATTCAACACAAGCAACATTCACAACATGCAATTCCAGTGGCTTAAGAAACAGTCTATCCAATGGTCTACCTTGTTAATGTGATCTGGAATGTGTGGTAGCCAGCAATGAATGATGCCAGTTTTGTCAAGCTCTGCTTTCCAGAACCACCAACTCCAACAAGCAAAGCATTTCCACCAGGGGTACGGATTACACGAGAGATCTGCAGAACACAGTGGAGTTTACCGTTAAACCACAGGACACCTAGAAGGGGGGGGGGGCAGTTGCACTGAATTCTTTGATATAGCCAAAATCAAGGTGGAGGTCTTGACTCCCAACTCAACGCAGCCTAAGTAGTGTCACACATCAATCTTGTGGTTTCTCATAAGAAAATCTTTAAGATGAAATAGCAACTTACAGGTTACTTAAGAAAGTGTAACACTGCCTTGAGAAACATAAAGGAGGATGAGTACACAGGGTCATTCTTTGTGTGAGAGAAAGAGGCTCATAGTACCATTTTCCCAGTTCAGCTCCTGTTCCTCGAGGCTAGGATTACTCCTCTGACATAGGGAGCAGATATAGCGGACATGTGCACAGAGGTCACTGTGCATAATTTTTTCCCCTGTGTGTGGCCCAATTCAGACATTTGGCAGAACCTCACGACCACCTATTTCAGCATGATGGCCTATTTCATCAACTAATGCCTCTGTATGCATGCTTGTTGCAATTCATACAATTGTGGCCACCCTTCCTCATGCCACCATGAATAGCTGTTGACTTTGTTCCTGCCTAGAATTTCCATGGGTGCAAGGGGAGGTGATTTTTGCTGATCCCCACCACCACCACCACGAATAGCTTGGGGAAGGGAATTCAGTCCCCCACAAGAAAGGAGGAGGGGAAAAAATCAGCCCCCTCCTTGCATCTGCAGGAATTCTAGGTGAGATCCAGGCCATGACACTTGGTTTGATAACGATCACGTTGACCGTCCTGGTTCATACAAATTGACATGAGATGCCAGCCAAGTTGTGTAATGATCCTGCCTCGAGGTGGTTGTGTATAAATGATGAAAACTCCTTACTAAACACTCAACTAAATGTCTATATGCCTGCTGTGTCATCTTTCCCTACTTTCTAGAAGTCTGTTTATTGCCATCTTTAGAGAAATTCTGCAGCACTCTGAGTCAGCGAGCAACAGACTGTTTTTAGTCATCTGAATTAGCTGTTTTTATACTTTTAAAGGCACAGGAGGAACAAGCCCCCGCTCCCCGTCTCCTTTTCTAGCATGTCCTGAAATACACTCGGAAAGAACCAGTGCACTAGTGGCACCTGCTGGAACAGTCTAGACATGGCACCCCTTGGTCACGACTACATCGGCCTGGCTTTCCATGCTTTCCAATGGGAGTATCTTTACTATTTCTACACCAACCTGGGAAAGACTGCAAAGGTAGTCTAATTCACTGAACATATTCAGAACGATGAGCTTTAAACTAAAGAGTCCAGGGTAACCAGCAATACCTTTACTAAATGAACCATAGCATCTTCAAAAAACACCAAGTCCATGCCTGCTCCACGGATACTCTCATTGTATATTTGTAAAAACATATTCAGCCGTTCCTTTAGGTGCTCAAAAGATTGAATCGGTTCATACACTTTTGGCATGTCAACCTCCACATCATCTGGCTCCTCTCCTGAGGCGAGAACAGCAAAGCATTAGGATTTCAAGCTGGGGACAGCGGTCAGATTTAGATACTGCTGATGTCCATCTTCTAACTGGTAAGGTCTTCTCTGCGTGATGAACTGAGAAAGTCAGTCAAGTTACACTACATTATAGGTGGTTGAATTGTGGTTGTTCATGGCCGCACATCACTTGGTACAGTGCCCAGGCATGTCCAAATAAGACTGACCCCACCAGTGTTCCCTCTAAGCTGAGTTAGTGTGAGCTAGCTCACAGTTTTTCAGCCTCCAGCTCACACATTTGAGTCTTAGCTCAGGGAGGATGGCTCCAGAGCACACTAATTTATGCAGCAGCCAAATGGCTCGCTCACAGCTTTAATGCCAGTAGCTCACAAAGTAGAATTTTTGCTCACAAGACTCCACAGCTTAGAGGGAACATTGGACCCCACCCGTCAACTCTTCCAGTCATTCTTATATGAAGGAACAAAAGAGACAATGGAAGCAAGAATAGCTATACTGTAGTCCAAGGCACAAGATGAGGCAGCATTGTCCAACACTTCACATAGTGGAACCATACTTCTTTCTGAATGAAAACTGAAGGGCGTATTTTACTCCTAGAAGTGAAAACAATTGACTTTACACCCTATGCCAGAACAAAGCATCCTTAAAGGAGCCTCCTTGGTGTTCTGCACAAGCCACTTTCCTGGCCAGCCTCCTGAATGGAAGGAGGCAAGCACAGAGCAGTGACTCACGCGGATGGCGTCTTCCATGTGCAGGCAGTACTGCTGTCTCTTTGCACTGGGAGTGGCTGAATGATCCCATCACACGAGGACAGAATTATCCACCTCAGGGAGAATGGAAAGGTGGAAAACCGGAAGAGTCCATCAACCCACTCAGGGCCCACTGGCACCTCTGATCGACCTGATTTTCCCTGGCACAGCAGCAGTGCCCTCATGGCACAGAGGTTTAAGTTTGGAGACTTCTGAGTGCTGAGCTACCCAGTGATATTTTTTTTTTGGTAGAATGCCATCACTGCAATATTAAGGGGGAAGCTATCAGGAAGAAGGGATTCATCCATATTCCCTGTCCTCATGACAAAATTTGTCCCCCACCCTCAAGGTCTTTTTGCCACCACTGGGGAATACAGACACCTGCAACTTCCCCCCAAGACGGCAATTCTTGGCAAGGATACAGGGTAAGGGGAAAGCGTTCTCTCCCCACTTCATGCTGTGCCAGCCTCAGTCGTAAAAGCACAGGCCTCAGCAGCGGCACGTTATAAAAATCTCTGGGGAAAAGGAATCACACCCATAATTTCGCCCTGCCTTGAAAATGCCAAGGGACCCAGACTGGGGGAGAGAGTGGCTGACTAGCAGGCAAGCTGGGAAAGGGAAAGAAAAGCAGAGGTTTGGTGGGAGGGGGCAGGCGACTTGCTGGAGAGGGGAAACGATCCGCCACGCCTTTATGAAGAGGGCAAAGCTGGCACAGTGACACGATCTTGGCCAACTGATGATTTTTATTGAAGACTGGAGCACCTCTTCCTAAGGCACTTCGAAAAGAAGGTTATTTCAGAGGACATCAAGCCAGGCTGTTGGTTTACGGCTTCTCAAGGTGGGTTTCTGCAGCTCTGCTTTCGCTACCACGTGATTTGTCCCTCACTTTTAGAGAGGCAACAACGTCAACAGGGCCTTGGTTTATGCCAGCAGATCCCGAGAGCACCTAGGTAATGCTGAGCAAAGCAATCACTGGCAACCGTGGGATGACGCCTCAACTTAAAAGACAGCATCTCTGCCGCAAGCTCCTGTTTTCAAGTTAGCACACTAAGGCTCAACTCTTCAGGCCTTGACAACATTTTAGCCGACGGCAGGGCTTTTTTTGTAGAAAAAAGCCCAGCAGGAACTCATTAGCATAATAGGCCACACCCAACAGCATGAACACATTAGCATATTAGACCGCACCCCCACATTACCAGAAGTGTGGTCATCCAGCCACACCCACCTTTTGCTTCTTATTCTGTTTATCTTCTTTGTTGTCAAAACCCAGGAGGCTTTTTTTGTAGCAGGAACTCCTTTGCATGTTAGGCCACACACCCCTAATGTAGCCAATCCTAATGAGTTCCTGTTGTTGGGTGTGGCCTATTATGCTAATGAGTTCCTGCTGGGCGTGGCCAACTCAGGAGCCAGCCGGAACTCCGTTCCTGTGCATTCCTGCCCAAAAATAGCCCCGGCCGACACTATTTAGGTCCGACACCACCTAGTTGCCAACTGATGCCAAAGAGCACTACACTACAGTACACAGTGGTTCACTTCAGATACAATGCAAGTCCCTGGTTTAATTAAACTATGGTTAGTGTGGTTGTCATTCCTTTAACTATGGTTAATTAGGCACCATCCAGCTAGGATCGTCAACCATGGTTTGATGACGGTTTATTAACCACAGTTGTTTTTAGCTATGATTTTGTATGGTGCCTGAATGTAGACATTCAGGCTTGCTTCAAATTACTGTTTTCCCAACACCTGGTCATAGCAAAGGCGATGAAGCCCACATTTCTCGAGGCAAACCAGGATTTGAGTGATCGTCTGCACGTCAAACTCGAGGTTTGCAAAGTAACCATAGTCAAAATAAACAATGGATTGGTCTTATGTCTGAACTGAACAAAGAAGTTCATCTCAAAAGCTGCCCCAGGCATTGAACACAATTAAATTGTAAAATTATGCAAGCTCCTCATTTATTTCTCTAGCAGAAATGCCATTCTGAGTATACCTAAAGGCTGCAACCACACACACTAAATAACCCACTTTCTTTCTTTTTTTTGGTAAACAAATTTTATTTTCTCAGGAATACAACATGTAAGATTAAAATCATTTCATTCTATCAATTGTCTACCCCATTCCCAGTTCCTCCCCTCCCTCCAATGGCTTCCCATAATGCTTCCACCCCTGCTCCAGATTACTTCATATCATCAAAAATATCAGTTTCTTATCATTACAATCTAAAGATAACATCATTTGACTTAATATTGATCTAAACATATTAAGTTTTGTTTCACATCCCAGTTCTTTTCCAGATATATTTTAAAGTCACTCCATTCTTGAAAAAACACGTCATCTTCTTTGTTATTCAACTTCTTCGTAATTTTGTCCATCTCTGCCATGAACAGAACTTTTTGTATCCAGTCTTCAATTTCTGGCACTTTCTCTGTTTTCCAAAATTGTGCATAAATCATTCTCGCTGTTGTGATTAAGTACCAGAGTAAGGTCTTTTTAGTCGTATTGACTTCTTCCATTTTCAGTCCCAAAAGCAGAATTTCCGGTGCCTTTTTAAAAGAGCATTTCAGAATTTTTTGCATTTCTTTGTGGACTTTTGTCCAAAAGTCAACTGCTTTCTCACAAGTCCACCACATATGATAAAATGAGCCTTCATGGCTCTTGCATTTCCAACACTTATTTGACATATTCTGGTTCATATTTGCAATTTTTTTCGGAGTCATGTACCACCTATACATCATTTTATAACAATTCTCTCTAACATTGGTACAAGGCGATATCTTAATAGAATTTTTCCACAAATATTCCCAGGTTTCAATAGACACTTCCGTATTCATATTTATCGCCCATTTTATCATTTGCCCTTTTACAGTCTCATCTTCAGTATACCATTTTAGTAACACTTTATACATTTTAGAGATATTTTTCCCCCCTCCACTCTCCCAAATCATTTCAATCTCATTTTTTTCCTCTCTAAAACCATAGTTTCTTTTGTCTGATCTAAAAAGGTCAAAAATCTGCATATATTTCAGCCATTCATAATCATATTCAATTTCATTCTGCTTTTTCATTACCCATTCTGTTCCCACTTTTTTAATTAGATCTTTATATGGCAACCAATCTTTATCTCTATGTCTTGAGTAAGATGTTAACACTTCCACTGGTACAATCCACAATGGTCTTACATCACAAAAGTATTTTTTATACCTCATCCATACCACAAATAGTGCTTTTCTTACCACATGAAGCTTAAAAAAGCTATCCATTTTTGTTTTGTCATACCATAAATATGCATGCCAACCAAATCTACAATCATGGCCTTCTAACCCCAGTAACTTATCATTTTCTAATTTCACCCATTGTTCCATCCAGGTTAGACAGACCGCTTCATAATATAGTCTAAGATTTGGTAATTGTAACCCACCTCTATCTTTGGCATCACAAAGAATTTTCATCTTGATTCGCGGTTTCTTGCCTGCCCAAACAAACTTTGATAGTTCTTGTTGCCACTTAAGTAGCAAATCTGTCTTACTAAGTATTGGTATTGTTTGGAACAGGAACATCAAACGTGGTAGGACATTCATTTTTATGACTGATATTCTTCCCATCAGTGACAAATTCATTTTGTCCCATTTCTTAAAGTCTTGAGTTAACTTAGTCCATAGTTTTTCATAATTGTTCTTATATAAGTCTATATTTCTTGCAGTTAACTCAATACCAAGATATTTAGTCTTTTTTACTACTTCACATTGTACCAGGTCTTGCAGTTCCATTTGTTTTTGTTTCGTCATGTTTTTGCAAATAAGCTTCGTCTTGTTCTTATTGACATAAAATCCGGCCAATTCTCCAAAGTCCTTTATTTTTTGGAATAGTAACGGTAATTTGTCTGTCGGGTTTTGCACAATGAACATTACATCGTCAGCAAATGCTCGATATTTGTATTTAAGTCCTTTGTGTGTCAATCCCGTTATCTCTTGATCTTGCTGTATTTTTTGTAGAAGTATCTCCAACACCCAGATAAATAATAACGGTGATAGGGGACAACCCTGTCTGGTGCCTTTCTGTACCTTGAAGCTATCTGTCAGTTCTTTGTTTACATTCAGTTTAGCTCTTTGTTCAGAATAGATAGCTTCAATGCAATTTCTGAAGTGTTGTCCCACTTCTATTTTTTCCATCATTTGCAGCATAAACTTCCAGTTAAGATTGTCAAATGCCTTTTCGGCATCGATAAATAAAAAAGCTACTTCTTG